AGGTTCCAATGGGGGGGAAAATCATCTTGCAAAACATCACCAATGGTGCTATGGCTGCAAATTTAAATGATACAGGATGGTGAAAATAGCCAGAAACCAAAGGATAAAGAGATTCTAGAATCACCAAGGAAATCACAAATGCAATTCCCCATTAACACAAATTATGTAGTTGAGTTCCCCACATTTGGGGAAATCATAGGGATCTGCACACCTGAAGTGCAATGGATGAGCCTTATCCTGGAAAAACCACTTTCATGACCATGGTATAACCCCTGCAAGGTATGAGTTGGAGTGGCCCTTGCCCCTCCTACCCCCTTCTGTGCCCTGTCCCCCCCCCCAAGGCATGGTGACCCTGGCTGCACCTCCTGCTCAGTACAGGGCTGCACAGCCCCAGTCCTGCCAGAGGCCATGAGAGCTTCTTGGTGTTTTGGGGCATGTCGCGGGACCCCCATCAGGGGCTAGATGTTCCTCCCACAATCCTCTAGTGGGGGATTGCATTTCTGAATTATCTGGTCTTTCAAGAATCCTTTTCATCTCTTTTTTCCTCTTCACGACCTATTGCAAAGGCAGCAAGTCCTGGTGATGTCTTGTATTGCACTCTCCCTCTTTTTCTCCCCAGTGGTAAAGGGCAAAAGGAGTCACCATTATCAGGAGCCAGGGGGCTATTTTGACTCCTTTCACCCTCTTTCCTTGCTGCTGGACAGAGAAAGAGGGGGAAGGCCATCGGACACCTCACTACATTTCCAAAGGCAGTGCAGGCGAGGGGATTGCTTTTGCCCAATATAGTAGATTTCAATGCATTTGTATGGGAAACTGTGTTTTGCAAGACCATGTTTTCTATGGACAATTTTTTGCAACACAGTGATTTTCCCCCCGTTGGAACGCATTAAATAGATTTCAATGCATTCCAATGGAGAATCGCATTTCTCAAGACAATGTTTTTGCAAGACAGCGATTTCTGCGGAATGAATTAAAATCGTCTTGCGAGGCGCCACTGTATAGGGAACCTGCATGCAGTTGCTAGACTATGTATTGCCAGTCTTGATCTGTACTGCCTCTCTCTGCATATTGTCTTATTGCAGTTTTTAACTGATATGTTTTATGTTGAGATTTTAAATTCTGAGCCATTCTGAAAAGCAGTGTATAAATGGTGCCTGTAGTATATGACCACGAGAAGAGAGGGATACACGTTTTTATATATCAGAAAATAGTCTTGCTCACTGTTATCAGTGAATTATGTTGTTATTTTCCATCATATGCTGCACCTGAAGGTGTTACAGCTGATCTTGTCAAAATTCTTCTTTTTTTTCTCACTGGTACTAAGGCGCTTTCTTCTGCTTCATGTATCTGGTAAAATTAATTGGCAAGATTAGAAAGGTTGATTTTGTACATGTGAAAGTCAAGGTTCTTTTGGTGTTCAATGACTGCGCTTCTATTCATGCACTGACATATATGCCCTTAAACCGCATTGAGTTGTGGTGTTTTTTTTTTTTGAGCCAATAGAGTTGACAAATGTACTAGTGACAAGCTACTTATCTGTAGCATTCTTAATCCTTTTGCTTTTCTGCTGCCTTTGAGATAGCTCGGTGTAAGAACCCCTTTACATGCAGTTAGTTTGTAGGCTTTCCAGATGGATTAAGTCCTATTAAAAACACAGCTTTACTTCAAAATGGGACTTGAAACACTATAAAAATAGTACCCGCATATCCATCTATATAAAAGCCTAATGTCTCTGAAAATCTATAAAGTTATCATGCAGTGTGTTTTGCAGTCAAGTAGCTCTACACCATCGTAGCCCACTAAGACACTTTGTTTGCCTCTTTTATTTCATTTATACATTATCATTTGTATGGCCTTGAGTCTACCTTCTTCCATTGACATTTGGCAGCTGGCTGAGCAGAGAGAAGCCTTTAAGACCAGAACTTCTGCTGAGGTAAACCTGCCACCAACAACAACAACACCAAAGGGAGGGGTTGTCACCCCTTGGGGGGAGACACGCGGGGCACACTTTCAACACAGAGGACTTGTATTTAATTTCTCTGCCTGTGCCTGTGTTGATAAGGGAAGGTCTGCTGTGGGAGGGATGTGTTTTTCAGATAAGGAATATGACGAGGGGTTTTTGTAGACTGTCGTGATTCACCAGGTGTCCTGTGCCACAGCTTGTTGGATTCAAGTGTTTATACCTTGAAGTGGGTGCCTGGGACATAATAGGAATTCTGTTGATGTAGTTTCTCAAGTGGCATTTGGCTCCACGCATGCTACAGGACATACTGTGGACCTAGTATTTTGTACCGGGCAGGATTATGATAATCTGGGTGTGAAGGAACTCTGTAATTCTGCTGTCATGTATACACTGATACATCACTACATGGTGAGGTTTAGATTTCTTGGAACTCTAAATATATACAAGGGTGGAGGACTGAATAGGATGGTCCACCTCACCCCAGGATACTGATGGATCCAACAGATTTTCTGACATTTCTTGGGGAGTTTCCTGTTGCCACATCAGGCGATCCTGTTGAAGCCCTGGTTGACCTCTGGAATGGAGAAATGTCTTGGTGCTGTAAGCATCCCTTCTCATGGAGTAGAGCCAAACAAGCCCCTGGTTTACCAGGGAACTAGTGGCAGTGGAATGAGAGGGATGGAGACTAGAGCAATGATGACAGAAAATGCTGAGTGAATCTGACTGAATATGGACTACAGCTTATTTGAAGACTTGCTCTTAAATATATGTTTTTCTCATCAAACATTAGTGTATACAGTATATACAATATATATTAGTGTATACAGTATGTAAATCTATAGCCTGAACATTATACTCAAGTGGATTCTAATCCACAAAAGTACCTCCTAAAATAAATCGGTGTGGTGGTGCTGTGGGTTAAACTGCAAGGTCAGAAGACCTTCAGTCGTAAGATTGAATCCACGCAACAGAGTGAGCCCCCCCCCCCGTCGCTTGTCTCAGCTTCCACCAACCTAGCAGTTCGAAAACATGGAAAATGCAAAATGCGAGTAGATGACTAGGGACCACCACGGTGGGAAGGTAACAGCGTTCCATGTCTAGTCGCACTGGCCACGTGACCACGGAAGATTGTCTTCGGACAAATGCTGGCTCTACGGCTTGGAGATGGATGAGCACCACGCCCTAGAGTAGGACACAACTGGACAAATTGTCAAGGGGAACCTTTACCTTACCTTTACTTAAGCATGCCATATGGCTTTATTTTCTCTCTGTGTGTGCGTTCGTGCGTGCTATAGGAGTACTGGCTGATGTTGCAGATTGTTATGATCCCAAATGCATCCATATTAATTATCTTGAGGTAAATTGTGAGGAGGTTAATTGTGCTGTTATATCCAGTAAAACTTAATTAAATTAAGTATTCTGTTCTGAGTGAATGAGAGGGCCATAGTGTCCGCTGTCTTACTTAGCAATGTTAATTGCTTCCATGTTCAGTTATAACTAGATGCTTCTTAGGTGAAAGTAGTTCTGCTTCTGTTTTTCCATATTGTAATTTGCGTTGTAGATAACTGTTGGCAGATATGTCCAGTGCTGAAAGCTATTTTTGCAGAAGCTGGAGTAGAAAAGAACAGCCTATACACCAGGGATGGTTAGGAGAGCTACAGTGATGAGAGCTAAATGATAAATGAGACCAACTAACTGTACCATACAAGCTAGTAGCCAGGGATGGAAAATGAAATCAGGAAGACAACAAGAACAACATGTATCCTACTGCCTAATGCATATGGTGTATTAGAATTGTTCATGGGAAAATGATATCAGTCACAGAATAAAAATAGAACTTGAGCATAATGGGAATTTTAATTAGCAGTTAGAACTGAGAAAATATAGGAGGGCAGGTCATGTACAATTTAGACATAGAGCCATGTGTCAGAAACAAATGAGCAGGGATTCCTCTAGCCTAATTTTACATGCCTGTTGAAACATCTTATATAGCAGTTATGTAGTTGTCTCAGGAGCACAGGAACCAATTACCTCAGGCGGTGGTGATTGCTCCAGTGCTGGAGGCATTCAACAGAAAATTAGCCAGCCATCTGTCATATATACTTTGATTGAGCAGTGGGTTGGACCCAATGGCCTTATTCATCATTGGATGATTTGATATGCTGTTATGACCTATACAACATGACCTTTTGGTATAGAATAAATAGCTACTGTACAAATGTCTGTTAGAGGCTAATTTAGAGCCTACATACCCTGGTATTTATTTAGGCTATCTGTTACCTTTTGGAGAAATGATATTATTGTTATATTGGAGACAGTGCTACTGAGGCATGTGTTTTACCTTGTTGTTTCAGGAGTTTATTGGATTACATTTTTCAGTAAATTAATCCAAAGTGTGGGAATAGGGAACCGGAATATTTAAGCAAATATTGAGGTTCAACTGGTGTTATGAGTTATGGCTCCACCCCATCCACCCTTTCCATGGAGAAAAAAAAGTGTGTGTGTGTGTGTGTGTGTGTGTGTGTGTGTGTGTGTGAGTGAGAGAGAGAGAGAGAGAGAAATTCTTTGTATTGACACATGGTGAAAACTAAGAACATATCGGTTATTTTTATATGAAATTTCATGTTCTGAAATGAGATGTAGGATTTAGTATTGCATGTTTTAATATGATGAAGTCTTACTATCACTGTAAAAATCCTCTGGATATTATATCTTACCACATTCTTTCTTTACAAGTTTGTTGTACATTCTTCTGTTGTTTGGGGAACAGAATGTTTGCAATTTGGCAAAATCTGGCTTATTTCTTCTTCTTCTTCTTCTTCTTCTTCTTCTTCTTCTTCTTCTTCTTCTTCTTCTTCTTCTTCTTCTTCTTCTTCTTCTTCTTCTTCTTCATTATTATTATTATTATTATTATTATTAGTAGTATTAGTATTAGTATTAGTAGTAGTAGTAGTAGTAGTAGTAGTATTTGATTGTCATAAATCTGTTCTGTTTCCTTTTGATGTAATGAATTGTTGCTTTGGTTTTCTTTTTCCAGCATATGCAGCTAACAATTCAAGCTCTTCAGGATGAGCTTAGGATCCAGAGGGACCTGAACCAGCTTTTCCAACAGGATAGCACTAGTAGATCCAAAGAGCCATTTATGACAGAGTTAACAGAGGAGAATTTCCAGCGGCTACATGCAGAGCATGAACGCCAGGCCAAGGAACTCTTCCTGCTACGCAAAACCTTGGAAGAAATGGAGTTACGCATTGAAACTCAGAAGCAGACATTAAATGCTCGTGATGAGTCCATTAAAAAGTTATTAGAAATGCTGCAGAGCAAGGGTCTGTCAGCAAAAGCCACAGAGGAGGATCATGAGCGCACAAGGCGGTTGGCTGAGGCAGAAATGCATGTTCACCATCTAGAAACCTTACTGGAACAGAAAGAAAAGGAGAACAATATGTTAAGGGAGGTGAGTAATAATTCACCTAAGAAGGTATTGGCAAATATTTGTTTATATGAGTTCACCTTTTTTTAAAATTTAATTTGATTTTAACTTCAACATAAACATAAAATACATAAACCAAAATAAAAATTGACTGTGTTCCCCACCACCATATTCGGGACCTCTTGCAGTAATCTTCTTCTTCCTCTATCTTTATTCTTCTTCCTTTATTGTCCTCTTCTCCAGAACTGCATTGATTCTTGATTTGGAGCTTTCCCTTTTCCTCTTATTAGCACATATTCCAAAAATCTGCCCCATATATCATAAACATTATTCTTTTTCATCTCTCCTTTCTTAACCTTTAATTTCATAATTAACTTACCATTTATAGCAATGTTCCATATTTCATTATTCCATTCTTCCATTCGAAATTCAGACTTTGATTTCCAATTCTTAGCTTTTATTAATCTAGCGGCTGTTAATAAACAGGTAATCAATTCTTTAGTCATCTTATCATATTCCATATTCTCAAATATTGACACCAAAGCGCTCAGGGTTAAATTCTGTATCTTTTTCATATATGTCATTTAGTTCTTTAAAGATTAGTTTCCAGGTTCTTTGTACTTTTTCACATTCCCACAACATATGAAAGTATGTACCAATTTCCTTCTCACATTTCCAACAGACATTCAGATAACTAACATTAATTTGATTCAATTTTGTCGGTGTTAAATACCATCTTAAACCCAATTTGAAATTTTTTATTTATTTATTTATTTATTTATTTTATTTCTATCCCGCCTATCTGGTCTTATTCGACCACTCTAGGCGGCTTACAAATCACAGCAGTAAAATCTAAAAACATTATAAGTTAATAAAAATAAAAATAAAAAAATATTCTCTTATTCTCACTGACGTAAATCTTAAAACCCTCATTTTCCACATCTTCCTCCATTCTTCATCATTTATTCTTTTTCCTAAGTCTTGTTCCCACACCAACTTCAATCCTTCTTTCTCAATCTCTTTTTCTAGATCGAGCAGGAATCTATAAATTTTACTCACTGCATCCTTTACTGAATCAGTTATCTGAATATCTTCATATCATAATATAAATTGGTCATACAGTGGTGCCCCGCTTGATGACGTTAATTCGTTCCAGCAAAATTGCTGTAGAGCAAAAACGTCGTAAAGTGAAATAAAAAAGCCCATTGAAATGCATTGGGAACCATTCAGTGTGTTCCAATGGGCTGAAAACTCACCGTCCAGCGAAGATCCTCCATTGGGGCGGCCATTTTCCATGCCTGTGCAGCGAGGAATCTGTCCCTAAGCACAGCAGGGGGGGGGCATTTTCTTCAGCCGGCGGCCATTTTGAAACCCGGCGATCAGCTGTTTTTGATTGTCGTAAAGCGAAAATCTGTTCCCAAAGCAGGGAACCGATCATCACAAAGCAGAAAAACCCCATTCAAACCATCGTTTTGCGATTGCAAAAGCAATCACAAAAATATCATCATGAAGCGGATTCGTCATTAAACTGCGTAATCGTAAAGCGGGCATGACTACTTCGTATATTCTCTACCTTTATTATACTTCTTTACCCATTCATTAGTCGATCTTTCTAATTGCATATAATTCATCCATGATAGACAGTTTTCTTATTTTGAAGGATTTGTTTCATTTGATTTTTCGATCTCATTTTATATAACCAGTCTTTTAATCTAATCACTTTTTTCTTTCAATAATTCTGCATAAACTTTCATATTGACAGGAAAATTCTCTATTTCAGTAACCAATCTTAATGGAGAGTTAAACTGACATAATTTTTTTTCTATACTTATTCAAGGCGTTTTTATTCTGGTGCTCTTCCTTTCATTACAATATTTATTTATTAATCATTCCTTGCCAAAATTTAAAATCATCTTCTGTTAACTGTATTGGTAACAATACGAGTTCACCTTAATCTACTTTTTTTCTTAAATAATTTGCTATACTGTTTTGTTTTTGTGATTTGCTAACTTCCACTTTTGATTAATTTTACATGGATTATATGTATGATTTAAGTTCCTGTGGTGACCCTTTTCAGGGTTCCTACGTAGAGAATACTCAAAAGTAGTTTACTATTTCCTTCTGGGTACATTCTGGGACTGTACAGCTTACCCAAGGTCACACAGGCTGGCTCTTCTGGAATACAAAATGGGGAATTGAACTCCCAGTCAACTCTCAACTTGAACTCAGCAACCAGATATCTAACACACTGAGCTATCTGACCAGCTTTGGTCCATCATGCTGTGTTTTAATTTTCTTTTCTCTCTATTTCACTTGAAATTGTGCTCAAAGTAAGCACCTGTCTCTAATGTTGTAGTGTCACATACAGTATATTCTAAACATATTGATGAGATCATATCTATAGATATTTTAGGTATAATGGCAAGTGCTGTCTTCCATTGGTTAGGCAAACTAAGACAATCCATTTCCCTGTTCTGTTCATCTCCGAGACCTTGTGTATCATATTTATTAACTGAATGCAAATAAATAATAAAGAAATACAGATTTTCAGAAGGTGTTTGATGCAGTCTGTCACCAAAGGCTGCTCCACAGTCAGGGGATAAGAGGGGAGGGATAAGCAGTGAGGTGGCCAGGTTTGCAGATGACATGAAACTTTTCCGGGTGGTAAAGACCAGAAGAGATTGTGAAGAGCTCGAGAAGGATCTCTCCAAACTTGGAGAATGGGCAGCAAAATGATGAATCTGTTTCAATATAAGAAAATGTAAAGTAATGCACATTGGGGCAAAATATCAAAACTTTACTTATCAGCTAATGGGATCTGAGCTGTCCGTGACGAATCAGGAAAGGCATCTTGGTGTGCTGGTGGAAGGCTCAATGGAAGTGTCAGCCTAGTGTGCAGCGGTAGTGAAGAAGGCCAATGCTAGGTGTCATTAAAAAGGGGATTGAAAATAAAACAACCAACATTATAATGTCATTGTACAAAACGATGGTGAGGCTGCACCTAGAGTATTGCATGCAGTTCTGGTCACTGTACCTCAAAAAAGACAGTCGAACTGCTTTTTAAGATGCTGTCTACGTTTGTCATCACTTTCCTCCTCAGAAGCAGGCGTCTTTTAATTTCCTGGCTGCTGTCACCATCAGCAGTGATCATGGAGCCCAAGAAAGTAAAATCTTTAAAAATTCCCCTTTTATTTACCTGGAGGTGATGGGACCAGTGGCCATGATCTTAGTTTTTTTTGATCTTGAGCTTCAGACCATTTTGTGCTCTCCTTTCACTCTCATTAAGAGGTTCTTTAATTCCTCCTCGCTTTCTGCCATCAGAGTAGTATCATCTGCATATCTGAGGTTTTTCATATTTCTTCTGGCAATCTTAATTCCAGTTTGGGATTCCTCCAGTCCAGACTTTCGCATGAGGTATTCTGCATATAAGTTAAATACGCAGGGGGACAATATACATCCTTGTTGTACTCCTTTACCAATTTTGAACCAATCAGTTGTTCCATATCCAGTTCTAACTGTTGTTTCCTGTCCCACATATAGATTTCTCAGGAGATAGATAAGGTGACCAGGCACTCCCGTTTTTTTGAGGACTTGCCATAGTTTGCTGTGGTCCATACAGTCAAAGGCTTTTGCATAGTCAATGAAGCAGAAGTAAATATTTTTACAGAACTCTCTGGCTGTCTCCATTGCTAACATGTTAGCAATTTGGTCTCTAGTTCCTCTGCCCCTTCAAGATCCAGCTTGTACTTCTGGGAGTTCTCGGTCCACATACTGCTGAAGCTTACCTTGTAGGATTTTGAACATAACCTTGCTAGCATGTGAAATGAGTGCAATTGTACGGTAGTTGGATCATTCTTTGGCACTGCTTTTCTTTGGTATTGGGATGTAGACTGATCTTTTCTAGTCCTCTAGCCACTGCTGAGTTTTCCAAACTTGCTGGCATATTGAATGTAGCACCTAAACAGTGTTATCTGTTAAGATTTTAAATAGTTCCATGGGAATGCCATCACCTCCACTGGCGTTGTTAGCTATGCTTTCTAAAGCCTACTTGACTTCACTCTCCAGGATATCTGGCTCAAGGTCAGCAGCCACACTATCTGGGTTGTCCGGGACATCCAGATCTTTCTGGCATAATTCCTCTGTATATTCTTGCCACCTCTTCTTGATGTCTTCTGCTTCTGTGAGGTTCCTACCATTTTTGTCCTTTATCATGTTCATCTTTGCACAAAAAGTTTCTCTAATATCTCCAATTTTCTTGAACAGATCTCTCATTTTTCCCTTTCTATTAATTTCCTCTATTTCTTTGCACTGTTCATTTAGGAAGGTTCTCTTGTCTCTCCTTGCTATCCTTTGAAAGTCAGCATTCAATTTCCTGTAACATTCCCTAATTCCCTTACATTTTGTTTCCCTTATCTTCTCTGCTATTTGTAAGGCCTTGTTGGACAGCCACTTTGCTTTCTTGCATTTCCTTTTCCTTGGGATGGTTTTTGTTGCTGCCTCCAGTAGAATATTACGAGTGATTGGCTGAACATACCCTGGAAGTATCTGTAAAAAAAAGCAGAACATGTGACATAGTGGTGATTGTTTCCCATCATCTCTGCATTTGGGGCATTAGTGGGGAACCAGCATCCTATGGGCCATATGAAACTTATAATAACCAGTACTGCTCCCCACTAGGCGATGGTACCAGTTGATTGGGGTCAGAGTTGTAATCCCTGAAAGGCATACAGAACCCTGCATGTGACTTTAGGCAGTGGTGACCAGAATTAAGTGTTCCTCTGCACTCATCATTTTCTTCTGGAAGTGTTAGTGGAGGTTTACCTCCAAAAGGTACTGTATTTTTAAGTATATAAGGCACCCCTGTGTATAAGACACACCCACTTTTCTAACACAAAATTAAGAAATCTAAGTGGGGCTTAGCAAGTGTAGGGGGAAAGGGATCAAAGCATGTAGGATTGCTTTGACCCCACAGGGCTTAGCAAAAGGAGGGGGAAAGGGATCAAAGCAATCTTGTGACTTCATGATCATTTTGATCCCTTTCCCCCTTATAAAGCCATGGGATTGCTTTGATCCTTTCCCCCCGTCTTTTGCTAAGTCCCATGGGACTTAGTAAGCAGAGGAGAAACCAAATCCATCCTGCAGCACTTTGATTCCTGCTTTCCTTTTGCTAAGGCTTAGGAAGTGGAGGGGAAAACAGGAATCAAAGCCCTGGAGGATCATTTTGATCCCTGCTTTCCCATCCACTTGTTTTTCTTCTCTCCTCAGCTTACTTCCATGTATAAGACGACCCTCAATTTTTAGTCTAAAGATTTTAGACAAAAGTATAGTATACATGGAAAAATATGGTACATAGAACATGTTTGAGAAGCACTTTCAAAGTTGAAAGGAAAAGTGGCATGCTTTGGCATCCAAACTTTGTGCCATACACACAATTCTTTCCGTGCCATGTCACTTACAGTTCCTTTAGAAAATAATGATGTGTGGGGGATGTTAGGTGACATTGCTTGGAGCTGCTTCAAGGATCCAAGCAGCTTCACTAGACTGACATCCGTGTCTGCTGGTTGTTAGTCATGAATTGCTCGGCCCTGTGTAAAATGCTGAACCAGAGAGGAGAGCAGCCTGGGACTACAGTTCTTTGCTTGGCCAGGAAAGACAGGCAAAAATTATGGAAGCTTAGTGGTTATGTCTGTAACTTCCTGGGTGTGTTCAGCCATCTGCCATAAACTGGATAGAGTTTGTTTGGTTGGTTTTATTCATTCAGTTTGTGAATCCCAGCATGGATTTGTGGCCCATAAAATGATCTGATTTAAAGAAAATGTTGAATGATTAAAATCATGTTGACTAAATTGTGCCATTGCAAGTGTGATTATGCCATCACTAATGGGAGATAGTAGTTAGAGAGTTCCTGCTTTGATCCCAGGCTTACTCAACTCACCTGTAAATCTTATTGCAGGCAAGTGAAGTAAGCCTCAGCTCAAAGCAGGAACTCTTTAACTAGCAGTGATCCACCCTCCTTGATGACATTGCTGGCAGTGACAGATTGCCATTAATTAAGAAGTTTCTGCTTTGATCTTGTGGCTTTGACAAACATGCCTGCAATGAGACTGATGGCACATGAGTTGGGTGAAAAAGAGGGGGAAAGCAGGGATCAAAGGGCTATAGGATCACTCCTTTTGCTAAGCCTTGTGGAGCTTAGGAAGTGGTGGGGAAAGCAGCGGTCAAAGTGATCGTGCAGTCCTTTGATCCCTACTTTCCCCCTCGCCTTAGGAAGTGGTGGGGAAAGCGGCGGTCAAAGTGATCCTGCAGTCCTTTGATCCCTACTTTCCCCCTCCTTTTGCTAAGCCTTGGGCTTAGGAAGTGGCAAGGAAAGCAGCAGTCAAAGTGATCATGCAGCCCTTTGATCCCTGTTTCCCCCCCTCTTTTTGCTAAGTCCTGTGGGGCTTAGGAAGTGGTGGGGAAAGCAGCAAATTTTCTAATTGGGGTTAGAAAAGTGGAGGTCATCTTATACATTGGGTTGTCTTATAAATGGAAAAATATGGTATTTTTGTATCCTGTAAAGTACAAGAATGCGCTATGACACAATACAATCTTTCATTTTAGGCTGGAAGTCCAATTTCATAACTTTTAAAATGGCAGAAATCTAGACTCTAGCTATTGTGCCAATTATATGTTGACCATTTTGATGAACTATATCTCATACAGGCTAGGTGGAAAGTGCTGTCGTCATCAGTAACTAGGTGGTTGCTACTCTGGGAGTATAAAAGTATTAGTGGTGCAGATGCTTTATAAGCTTGTTAAACCACATCAGATTGTTGTTATTTATTAATCCTCATTTTGAAAAAAATATTTTTGTTTCACCAGAGATAGAAGTTTGAAAAAAAATGTATAAAGGATTATATAGCTGAAAGGTATTGGGATTTTAACATTGCTTCAGCTGTGGAGTTCATGTTTTTTTTAAAAAAAAGAAAGATGAGAATATTACAGTTCCATATAAATAGATGACTGGATTCAACTGAGTTCAAGCAGATTTGAGTGTGTGTGTGTGTTAAATATAAAAGGTTATTTTTGCTGCATCAGAAAAATAGGGAAACATTTTTGTCCCTGCTTTTTTATTTTATTTTATGCCAAATATCATTGGAGTCAAGCCACATGCTATAGCATTGAGTCTTCTTGTGTTTCTTCCTGCTCAGGAGATGCATCGTCGCTTGGAAAATGCTCCTGATTCTGCCAAGACCAAAGCTTTGCAGACTGTTATAGAAATGAAAGTAAGTACTAAAAAGCTTCCATGAAGATATGGTATGAAGCTATAATAGCACAAAAGACAAACTCTGTGAATAACAACTTATCTAGTACTTACTGTTCTTTTATATTTTGAGATTTATAGTCTTAACCTAGAAATGGGAGCTTCATATTCATATCTCTGGGGATACAAATATGAAGCACTGCACCACAGGTGCAACAGAGGTTCACTCTGTCTCCCCAGAACCAGCCCAGTCCACTCACTGGGCTCTGCACAGCATGCACATCCATCAATGGCAACGTTGCCTCATAGAAGTGTCCTGACCATCTCTGCCCTTCCGTCCCGCGCACACTGAACAGCTGAGTTGGGGATATTCATCACCCTACCTCCTTGCCCAATGGCAACGTTGCCTCGTAGAAGTGTCCTGACCATCTCTGCCCTGCCGTCCCGCGCACACTGAACAGCTGAGTGGGGATATTCATCACCCTACCTCCTTGCCAGAGTGGTCGGCTGTGTAGAGAGGCAGAACTGAGCTGGTCAGGCTACTTCCGCGATTGGCAAGATGTTGCTGCCGACGCACACTGCACAGAGGCTGGTGAGTGGACCAGGCTGGTTCTGGGGAAGGGAATGGACCTCATCACCCTGTGCTGCTGCACATTGTATTCATATCCCCAGGGATACAAATACAAAGCTCCCCTTTCTTAATTCACATTTGCCTTAATTCCTTTGATCAACTTATTTTTGGCGCAGTTCTATGGATCATATGAGGAAGAACACAGGAAGCTGACAGGTCAGATAATTTCTCCAGGTACTAAGGGTTCTCTGAAGTATCAGACAGAGTTGTTTCATATCACACTTATTGGAGTTGCCAGAGATCAATCCTTTTGCATTCAAATGGTGTGTTTTACCTCTGAGCTGACACTCCTTCCCTTTGGTCCTGATCCAAAATGATTGCAGATCTGTTTGCTTCTATGGAAAGCAGAACTGTATGTGCAGCGTGCTTTCCATGTTTTATGTTGAGGTTTTTCTCCTTGTGGAAGACAACCTAATTCTTCGAGGTTAGTGTGTTGCAGTGAAGGCAGATGCCCAGTGTTTGGTCTTATTTAAAGGCTTAGAAGGGATGCCAGTTATGTTTCTGATGCCAGGACAGTCAAAGCAGAATCTTTTTAAAACCACAAAAATCCTACTGGGAACAAAAACCTGCATATAAATATAGACATGGGTAGGAGGTAATCTGTGCAAATTTCTTTTACTTTGAAGCAAAGTAGTACAGATGATAGCTAATTTAATTGTGGGTAATTTACTGCAGTAAGACTATTGTGTTTATAGCCTGATTTAGGGATCATGAAGAGAAGTATCAGCAATGTGATGGCTACGGTCAGTCCCTCCTCTCTATGTTACAGTGGACCCTTGACTTACAGATGGCTTGACTTACAGACTTTTTGAGTTACAGACTTCTCTGGCCGCAAAATTTAGGTTTGACTTGCAGACTGAGATTTGACTTACAGACCAGAAAAAAAAAAAAAGGAACAAAAACGGCCTGTTACGGGATTAATCGGTTTTCAATGCTCTGTAGGTCAATGGAGACTTGACTTACAGACTTTTTGACTTGAGAACCGCCTTCCAATACGGATTAAGTTCTCAAGTCAAGACCCCACTGTATATAAGTCACATAAAGATGGCCATATCTGGATTTAGTAATAATTTTCATTTGCTGGAAGCCAGCAGACTAAAATTAAATCTTGAAAGGATGTAGGCCTTGTGTGGAGGTGGTTCTGATGTCCAGGAAATCGTATCCAGTCTTCTCACATTGTGATTGCTTCTTAACCAAACTGATCAGGAATAGTCTAACCATAGTGATCCATGCTTTGGTATCCTTTTAATATATGTATTATGTGTTGTATGTCAGCTGCCCTTGAAGATGACTTAGAAGCTTCAGCTAGTGTATAGTGTAGTAGGTGTAATTCTGTTGGGTACAGATTCTGGAGGAGCTGTGCTGTTTCTCAGCTGAATTCTGGCTGCTAGTGTTTACCTTTAAAGTCCTAAGTGGTTTGGGATCCTGATTTCTGAAGGAGTATCTCCCCGTTTCAACAGCTTCAAGATTGTTGGAGGAAACTTGTTTCCATTGGTGCATTATGTGGCAACAAGGGAGAGAGCATTTTTGTTGTAGAGCCCTTGATTGTGGAACCTCCTACCCATGGAGATGTGACACTTTACTAATGTTGCAGTACTTTCAGCACTAGGTCAAAGTGTATTTGGAGTCTGTTATGTTTAAGCCAATTGTTTTGAACAGCTCCATATTTCTATCCTTTTTTTGCTATAGTAAACGATGTTGGCTTTTTTTAACTATGTATTTTATTGAATTTCGGATAGTATTTTCCATAAAGCTAGAATGAAAGTATATTTAAGAATGAATGAATAAATAAGCTTCCATTACATCAGAGGTAGAACTTTTTTGACAAGGAATTGACAGTTTCTTTGCTTTTGGTGATCTGCACTTGAATGCTAATCATTTTACAGTGACACTGATGATGATACCCTAGGTCAGTGGTGTCGAACTGTGGCCCTCCAGATGTTCTTGGACTTCAACTCCCAGAAGCCTTCACCACCACCTCTGCTGGCCAGGATTTCTGGGAGTTGAAGGCCAAGAACATCTGGAGGGCCACAGTTCGACACCACTGCCCTAGGTTCTACTGCAGGACTGGGTTTGAAAGCTGTGTTTTAAAGGCTTCTGTGGCAGTTGTTTGTAGATCCTTGGTGGGCCCCCCTTCATTTTATCTGGTATCAAAAATCCATTCTCGAATTGAGCCTTGTTTTCACATTTAAGATTGCATATTTATGTTTAAGAAGATGACTGCCAGTTTGAAAGTATATAGAAGAAGGGGGGACCCAGGAAACTACAGGCCGGTTAGCCTAATGGCTGTTCCAGGGAAGATGGTGGAAAGCCTCATCGAAGATAAAATCTTAAAACACATAGAAGAACAAGCCTTGCTGAGGGAAAATTAGCATGGCTTCTGTAAGGGTAAGTCTTGCCTCACAAACTTTAGAATTCTTTGAAGGCATGTGGATGCAGGCAAACCTATCTGGATTTTCAGAAGGCATTTTATGCAGTCACTCATCAAAGGTGGCTGAAAAAACTCCACAGTCAGGGATAAGAGGGCAGATCCTCCTATGGATTGAGAATTGGTTGAGAACCAGAAAACAAGGAGTAGGTGTCAATGGCAGTTTTCACAATGGAGAGAGGTGAAAAACAGTGTGCCCCAGGAATCTGTCCTGGGATTGGTGCTTTTCAACCTGTTCATATATGACCTGGAGACGGAGATAAGCAGTGATGTGGCCACGTTTGCAGATGACACGAAACTTTTCCAGATGATGAGGATGAGAAGGGATTGTGAAGAGCTCCAGAAGGATCTCTTTAAACTGGGAGAATGGGCGGCAAAATGTCAAATGTGTTTGAGTATAAGAAAAAATGTAAAGTAATGCACATTGGGGCAAAAATCAAAACTTGAGTTACCTGTTAATGGTTTCTGAGCTGTCCATGGCAGATCAGGAAAAAGATCCTGGTGTGCTGTTGGACGGCTCAATGAAAGTGTCACCCCAGTGTGCGGTGGCAGTCAAGAAGGCTAATTCCATGCTAGATATCATTAAAAAGGGGATTGAAAATAAAACAGCTAACAGTATAATGCCATTGTACAAAACAATGGTGAGGCCGCACCTAGAGTATTGCATACAGTTCTGGTCGCTGCACCTCAAAAAAGACATAGTGGAACTGGAAAAGGTGCAGAAGAGAACGACTAAAATGATGACTGGGCTGGGGCACCTCCCTTATGAGGAAAGGCTATAGCATTTGGGGCTCTGTAGTCTGGAGAGAAGGCTTTTGAGGGGGGACATGATTGAGTCGTATAAAATTATGCAGGGCATGGATAAAGTGGATAGATGAAAGCTCTTTTCCCTCTCATGCGATACTAGAACCAGGGGACATCCACTCAAATTGAGTGTTGAGAGAATGAGAAAAGACCAAAGAAAACATTTCTATACCCAGTGTGTTGTTGTTAGTCTGTTGAACTCCTTGCTACAGGATGTGGTGATGGCATCTAGTCTAGATGGCTTTAAAAGAGGATTGGATAGATTTCTTGATGAAAAGTCCATGGCAGGTTGCAAGCCATGATGGGGATGTATAATCCCCAGGTTTAAAAGGAAGGTACCTCGAAATGCCAGATGCAGGGGAGTGGTATCAGGAGACAGGGATCTAGTTGTCTTGTGTGCTCCCAGAGGCATCTGGTGGGGCCACTGTGAGATACAGGAAGCTGGACTAGATGGGCCCTTGTCCTGACCCAGCAGAGCTCTAATGTTCTTATGTAACATAAGTGTCAGTTGTAGCAGCTTCATGGGATAGTTGGAAACTGACTTACGTCGAATTCTGTGGTATTTTCAGCTAATGATCTGAAATGCATGTTTCCTTATATTTGAAGGACTCAAAGATTTCTTCCATGGAGCGTGGACTTCGAGATTTGGAAGAAGAGATCCAAATGTTGAAGTCAAATGGAGCACTCAGTACAGAGGAACGTGAGGAAGAAATGAAACAGATGGAGGTGTATCGTAGCCATTCCAAATTTATGAAGAATAAGGTAATGAGTAAGCACTGTTTGTTGGACAGGGAAATACAATTCTCTTTGATATGAATTCAATAACTAGATCACAGAACAGATCTGAGATTTGCAATCTACTTTTTCTGCTAAGGGAATTAATGGAAGGTGCAAATTTGTCTTATATTCATCAAGAGTAGTGGTCCAAATCTGTCCAAAGGTTTAAACTTTATTGGACTCAGAAACATTCGGAGAACTACTGCAGTCAGTACTGGCATCATAGGAATCTGTTTTCACTTAGTAACTTTGTGCAGTGTCTGAACAGCTGGCAAATGCAGCCTCACATATAGTGCATCACTGTAATATAACTGGACTGTTACTTGTGCATAAGTAATTTTGGGGAAGCTATCTCTATCAAGATGTATTCACAGCAAGTGGTAAAACTGCAGTACTGTAGTCAGGCCTCTGTTCACAACCTGAGTTTGATCCTGATAGATTCAGGTAGTGGCTCCATGTTAACTCAGGCTTTCATCTTTCCAAGGTCAGTAAAATGGGTACCTAGCTCAACAGGGGGCAAAGCGTTCCTTGCATAATTATGCTGCAGAGTGCTCAAGCACCATGGGGCAGTATACAAGTTGAAATATCATCATATCATTATTATCATGTAAAGCTGAGAAAAGACATATAAAACTACTAGTTATCACCACTGTTTGCCTCTTGAATTTTTAAGCCAATGCTACTCCTTCTCCCAACTTGCCCTAATTACTGTTTCGCTTATTTAAGATGTTATTGTGAATAATTACATCTAATATCACCCAAGGAGGTTTCTGGGTTGTTGTGGTAAATGTACCCTTGTTGAGGAATTTCCTTCCCTTAGAGATCTAGTTGATCCCTACAGTCTAGTCTTTCAGGTGCCAGTTAAAAATAAATCTATTGGCAAAAGCTTTTTTATAATATTTGATTTATTGCTCTTTGTATTAGTTGGTTATTTTAAATAATTAGTGATTTTAACTGTGTGTAAAGGTAAAGGTAAAGGTTCCCCTTGACAATTTTTGTCCAGTCGTGTCCGACTCTAGGGGGCGGCGCTCATCCTTCTCTTCAAGCCATAGAGCCAGCGTTTTGTCCGACGACAATCTTTCCATGGTCACATGGCCAGTGTGATTTAGACACGGAACGCTGTTTACCTTCCGACCGAGGTGGTCCCTATTTATCTACTCGCATTTGCATGCTTTCGAACCGCTAGGTTGGCGGGAGCTAGGACAAGCGACGGGTGCTCATTCCGTTGCGTGGATTCGATCTTACGACTGCTTGGTCTTCTGACCCTGCAGCACAGGCTTCTGCGGTTTAGCCCACAGCGCCACCACGTCCCTGTGTGTATTCACATGGATATTAGCCATCCTGTCCTTTTATGAGGAAAAACATTGGATAAACAATGATGATATTAATCAAGGAAATTGTAATATGTTCTCGGTAGGCCTTTCTTAAGTAAGCACTCTCCAGATGTGCTGGGCTACAACTCCTATAATCTACAGCCAGCATGGGGAAAACAGGAGTTTTGGAAGGGCTGATTTAGATGACATGCTATCTGAATGTTGTGTTATAAATGCAATATTTCTTGCATGGGGGCTTAGGTAGGCACAGTATTTTTCAGTGATCTTGTATTTTTATCAGGGAGGGGGCAAGGAAGTGCTGAATTTGCCTTTTTCAGGGGGCTACTTTTTGCTATTGTACTGGCTCAGGAAAATTGACAGGAGGATATTTTAATATAAATGTAAAAGAATAACAATGTCGTGGCAGGTAGAACAACTGAAGGAAGAGCTAAATGCCAAAGAGGTTCAAGGGGAGGAGCTGAAAAAGAGAGTGACTGATCTCCAGACTGAGGTCTCTACCGTAAGACTGACTTCATTGTGTGCAGTGCCACTCACTTAGGCTCTGCTAGCTTTCTTGGGTAGCTTACTTTGCTGACCTTACGCTTTGCAGCTATAAGGAACAATAAAGCTAACTGCTTTGCATCTGTCCCTTATTCACATCTGGCTGGCATATGTAACATCACAGTCTGCAGTCTACTCTGAACACTCCAGTGAAAGGTTCTCATCCCATACAGGAGTCTATTCAAATTCTTTCAAACAGCTAAAATGTATAATTTGAGATAGATTTCCTGATTTCTTAAAATGGAGAGTACAGTTTGGCAGTTATATCTTTGTATGATTAGGTGTTCTTCTGTCAGGCTGTGTATTTTGATGAATATTGTGTGAAAATAGGAGGAGAAAAACAGGCTTTGTGTAATCTTCATTGAACCCCCTTCAAATATATATTTTTTATATTCAATCTGAAAACACATTTGATGTTTTTGGTAGTTGCAAAAAAATGGTTCATTGTGATCTGATCAATATTTGGCTTTTATTTCTAGGATAAAAAGGTAATATTCAAATAATACAGAGATTGGAATGTGAAATTGTTTCTCCATCTGAAAACTGACCTGTGATTTTACTGAAGTTGCTGTGTTGTTTTCTAACTTGGGATATTTGCAGTATTTGAAGAAAAACTTTGTGACTTAGGCTTTGAGAAATCTACTAATTTTTTAAAATACCCTGTCCTGATGTAGACATTTTGTATGACTTGCTATATTTTGCAAGTAATGACATAGTGCTCAAAATTGAATCCAGGACAGGCGTGGGTGTTTACATACCTAAAGCCATGGGGAAATCTATCTATCTTTCTTTCTCTCTTTCTGTCTGTCTGTCTGTTTGTCTGTAATTCACTGCTAATGATAGTTGAGGCAGTAACAAACAAACATAAAGAAACAAACAAATAATAAACTGCTGAGATTCTAAGGAGATTATTGATAACTGGTCTTTCTCTACAAAGTTAAATACTTCTAGTTATTAGAAGTAGTTTAACATTCTTGCCAGTCACTTTTGATTGTTAAAAAATTCTGGCTACATTTATATTTGCTTCCCCCCTTTTCTGGCTTCTTGGTTGCCAACAGCAGTTAGGCCCTCTGCCTATAATGGCCTGTAATTGTCAAACAGTGTGCATATTGGTTTATGACTATAATCCAGCTCACTTCATGTGATTGCCTTTTTCTGCATTTTGGAATGCTCAATTTTCTTTTCTGCAGAACACTTCAAGTCTGCACATAAACAAGCATGCATAAAGAAAAGGTTAATATATTTCCTTTTTTCTGATTTCCTTTCAGAGATCTTTAAAACTTTCTTTTAAAATTTGCTTTGAGTCATCTGAAAATATTTCTATTGTTCACTAAATTGTTATTGAACCTTTTCTGTTGTTTCTCGGAATGTTTTCTGTAATAACTTAATGTATAGTTTGATCATTTATACTCATCTTTTTGATTCTTCTTTTAGATTGGTCAGGTGAAGCAGGAATTGTCACGCAAAGATACAGAACTGCTGGCCTTACAGACAAAATTGGAAACTCTCACAAACCAGTTTTCTGATAGCAAGCAACACATCGATGTGCTCAAGGAGTCCCTCACAGCCAAGGAGCAGAGAGCTGCCATCCTCCAGACAGAGGTGATTGACATATCATGGAACTATTGTTCTTCATAAATAATTTTATAGCCTTTTGAATTATGGAGTAATACACTAATTTAACACTGGAATAGCATTCGGCCATGGCTATGTGGTTGGCTGTCACCCATTTCATGCAGTTTATCTCATTTTAAATATTAAGTGTCCCACTGAATTGTGTTAATAGTTAAGCACAGAACAATAAAAGACTAAGAGCCCCTTTCCTCCAGGATTCTGTTTTTAACAAAAGTCAGTCTGTATTTATGTCACCTAGAAACAGGACAAGAAGACAACAGCCCTTTCCTTGTTTGTCGTCAGCATCTGGCATTTCAAGAAAGCCCTAAGCTCCCCAAGTCAGGATGGCAATATCCATGCTGGATGGGGTATTCTAGAATTTGGAGTTCAAAAAGTAATGTCCCTAAGCTTTGTTGTGCCTGAAATCCATGATATTCAGCTGTCATAGTTTGTTTAAAGATATTAGAGTTTTTGATAGTCCTGAAGTCTGTTTCCTTTTAGAAGACCAAGCACTCATCATCACATTCTGTGGAATAATTTCAATATGTGTCCGATTTGGTTCATTTTGAACCTACTGTAATAGCAATTAAGTTGCTCTTGAGTGATCCAAATTCCAGTATTATAAAAGATGGAGAAAAGTCTTCATCCAACTGCCATCATTTTCGTTTCCACCTTTCTGTATCTTTTCGCTCTTCAGTGTTTAACACTGCATTGTTTTCAGTGGTTTGTCACTCTGATCATAGTCACATCTTCTATGGACCCCGCCAGTGTATTAGATGTAGTTAAGAATTTTTTCTCCACACTGATGCACAACTTTCATTTAGTTATAATTATATTGGTAGGTTTTATTACATATTCACCCTGTTTGGAGATTTTCTTCTGTAGTATCTCAATCTGAATGAAATTTTGGATTTCATTCTCTTGAACAACTTCATATCACACATACATTGGCATTCAGGGTTTGATCATAGAGATCCTAGTCCACTAGAGTGAGATACTTAATTATTTTCTTCCAATATGAAGAGTGCCCATTTAATATTACACTTTATTTTCTATAAGTGGATCTTTCTGGAAAATGTACTTATATCTGCACTGACATTAAACACTACTGAAGTTAATCAATACTCCCTGTCACTCAGGGTTTGAAAACTAGCTTCAACCCCTTGTTTGAAATCCTGATAGAAAAGCAATCCCTTTAGCTTTATCCATAGTATATTCATTGTTTGAGTGACACAAGTAAAATGCAATAGTAGTAGAAAAGAGTGAAGGAAATTTGGACTAGAAAGAAGAGGGTCATATAATTTTGAGTTCTGTTATAAGTCTCTCACTTATGGTTACTGAGGTTGTCTACAGGTGATGCAAGCAGAGTTTTGAAGAACTATCTTCTGTATTTGCATTTGTCTCAGATTCATAGCACATTTAACATTGATCTCTGTCACTTTTGCTCTATTCTAGTCGGTCCCTCACTGATGGAAGTGGGCTTATTGAACACATTAGATCATCTGAGTGCAGTTCAGCATCATTTGAGGAGAAATATGTGTCCATGTATGCCATCTATAATTATATAATGCTAGATTCCCTTAGTCTTGTAAATGAGTAACAGCATAGTGGTAGTTTTGGGTGTTCATTAGTGTATCCTTGTAGTTCAAAGCAGAAGGGGGAAGCTAGCATTCCAGTGGCTTTTATTTTGGCTGCATTATTGCTGTCTGCTCATATTGCTGCATTTGTATATGTTTCGTTGTGCTTGTAGCCTGAAAGTACATCTTGTGTTCTGAAAACAGCATAAATAGACTTTACAGTCTGACCACATTTTGTTAGAGTGCAGAATTATACACGTCATTTTATTCAGTGGCATTTAACTTATTCTGGAAGGTTTCCAAGTGTACACATAAGTAGCTATTTTATTTGAACATGGTATTTGATTAACATCTGACTAAATGAAATGGTGCATGTTATCCATAGGAGGGCGCCAGAGGTTCAATTAATGTAATTCTTGATTTTCTGATATGCATCAAAATAATACAGTAATAATAAGCCATTGATGGATGCTAAAATGGACTGAATTGGCAAAGTGTGGCCATATTATATAAGTATGTATTAAGTTTTAGTGGACACTGCCTTCCTATGCCTTGATTTCTTTTACTGTATCAAATGATTGTTTAGTTATGTTGCAGATAACATTTCCTCTCTGCATTTATTGGAAAAGATTTGCTGAAATATCAAAATGTTTTTTATGAATTTTATCTTATAACCAGATGCAAAGTTGCATAATAATCATAATGTCATGTGACATTAATTGTTTAATGATACACAGGCCATTAATGTCCTGCAAAATATGGTAATACAGTGATGAAAATTCAGTAGGTGTACTTCCAATGGTACTGTGATGGTGGTTGTAATATTCCTGAGTCCTTTTTCCTTATATTGATACTTCAAATCAGATTGTGATTCAAAGGCTTCTTTGGCCTATAACCTTCTTCATTTATACTAAAAGTGTTTTGTATCTGTAATGAAACTCAGATCCTCATTCACAGTAATGATGCTGTTGCCACTCACCAAGAAATCTAATAGACATGCTGCATGCTGAATTTATTTTTTCTGACTAATTTTGTGTGTAGAGGAAAGCATTCAGAATGTAATGTTGAAACATTAAGTTCTATATTGATTATGCTATTGTTATAACTATGCTGAGAATAATTCTCCAAGTGTCTGTAAAATCACACCTTTCACCAGTTCTTTCATAAATTTTCATAAAAACTGATGCCTTGAGAAAGCTATCCTGTTTCTCCTAAAATAAGACCTAGCCTGAAAATCAGCCCTAGTATGATTTTTCAGGTTGCTCATAATATAAGCCCTACCCCCAAAATAAGCCTCATTTAAGTGAAAGCCCGCCCTCCACCATTGTGCAGCAACTAGAAGATGACATGACTGTTTGAATAAATGTAGATTGTTGTACATGAAAAAAAAAATAAAACATCCCCTGAAAATAAGCCCTAATCCATTTTTGGAGCAAAAATTAATGTAAGGCCCTGTGTTATATTAATGTGATGAAGACTAGTGAACAAAGATGTGCTTCCTTGAGTATGCACACTTATTTCAATTGTTGTAACAGTATTCATACAATGAATTTAAAGAACTGGACACAGATATGTTGATCTTAATGAATAGCTATACAGTATAGGATTTGAATCACAAGGAAGGGGAAGTTATCCCACACTCCCTAAGTGGCACCTCTTCAGTATAGGATTATTGACTGTTGCTAATTCTGCTCTGTTCATTCAGTTTCCACTTCTAAGAACTGATTGGCTGGGAGTGATGGGGGATGCTGTATTGTCTTACTCTAGAATGCTTCACCAGACATGGTCAGAGTTTCAAGCTCTTATAAAACTGTCTTTACCCTAAAATTGTGTGGGCTTGCAAAACTTATATGAAAATTCTGAAAAATTTGACACAACCACTGAGCACTTGTGTGTATAACACAAAATCATTGTTATTTCTTAGTAACAACATGGTTGTTTATTTAAAATATTTCCACCATCTTTCTCCTTAAAAGAACCCAAGGCAGCTTACATCATTAAAAAGACAATATTTAATAGCTAAAACAATAAATATACAAATATTTTAAAAGAACTAAACAAATATGTTAAAATTATAAATAAAATAAATACTAAAACACATTTAAAAGCAACAGAGCACAAGAATCTGTTTAAACACATCACAAAGATATTATGTTAAATTATGTTAAAAATGATCTAACTAAATAATTTTATTCAGAAGTTTAAAAGTGCAGATACTTAAAGCTTGGCACATATTTCATATTTTCTGTTGAAAGCATGCATCTAAATTCAAACCTTGGCAGAGCAGCATCTGTAAAGTGCAAAATTACCCTGCCTTGGGATTGTTTATCCTAAGGGATAAGTAGGTGGAGAAGATTTTGAGGTTAGTATCAGTATGTAAGTAAGCCATTATAAATACTTCTAGAATCTTAAAATATTTTTGTAAATAAAGCAAAATATAAACCAACATTTATTTTGGAACAAAATGTTTCATCCATTTACAGTTTTATTACTGTCCTACTGAGGGCATTTGCTTGGATCAGCATTGGCAAATATATGGCTAATTCAGTCTCTAGGAATATTTGTGTATGTGTCTGTGTGCATGTATGTGTATACAGTGTCCAAATTATTTGGTCCTTTGACCTTCCCTCTACTAGTTCAGTACCAAAAGAGGAGATTTGTATGCATTAGAGAACTGAACCCAAAACCCAAGAGGTTTATTGTTTACAGTGGCTGTAGTATGTTCTTTGAGGCTGTATTATGGAACAAATTATATGAACCCAGCATGATTCCAGATTCGATCCTCTGCACATCCTGTATTGAAACGTGTGGTTATATGGATTTGATATAGTTGTCCTGAAAGTTCAGAACACAGATTTGCCGTTTCAAACCCTCAGAACAAATGGCAAACTGGGTCAAACCACATTCTGGCTGTTACCTTGAGTTGAAGTGATAACATGTAATCTAGGAGATCAAAAATAACAAGAGTTCTGGGTTTATTTCATTGAAATGAATGTGATGAATTATTTGAGGCAAACAGGGAGGAGGGAAACGGAGTAAAAAGGCAGACTGTAGCAGCAGCTCTGTACTGTGTCAGAGGAAGGTCCTAATGACCTTCATTAGTCATTGATAGTTGCTGGTGCTATTGATTTGTAATTAAACATGCTCAATTTATGAAAGATTACTAACTTTAGATTAAAATAACTTTATATGCCACAGAAATCAAAACCAGGACAACAACGAAAATTGTCCAGTGGCTTTCTTGAAGTTAATGTTGCCATTTTCTGTTAGTGGAAAAGAAAATTGAAATCCCCAAAACAACATCTAGCATTTCTCTCACATCAAGATCTACACAATGCACAACTTACCATCCTGGCTGTGGCCTGGAATTTCAAGTAATTAACATCTTAATATTCTGATTCCTGTGTAAACAATGCATTGTCACTGTGTCTGTTTTCTGTCTATATCCACAACTGCTCATAACTCCTACCACCAGGTAAATATGTATAAATATAGACATAATATTTGCACTCCCTTTGTCTAAAGAAGTAGATTTTGTTTCATACAAGCTCATATTAAAATCTACTGAGCTACCACATTATTTTCCTTTTCTCTTTTTTCTCTCTGACCTCCTCCCTTTAGTCTTCCAATGTGCATAAAATGAGTTACTACGGTATGAATAAAGGTATTGTTTCTGCTGGCAAGACCAAGGGTAACAAGCTTAAGAGTTGTGTTGAATAGTCATTTTTAAGACTCTTAATGATTGCTGATGATTCTAGAAATTAAAAATGTGCATCACATTTCTTGGAAAAAGACTCATCTATCAAGATGGACTGCTAGTCTAGAACAGAGGTTGGGGTTTGCTGAGGTGATGAGAGTTGCAATCCAGCAGTACCTGTAGGACAGCAAGTTGCCCATTCCAGTCTAGGAAAATGCAGTGTTTTAAGGAAACGTAACAGCAACCACAACTGAACTTTGAAACTTTTAATTTTATGTTCTTTTAAATGCAAGCTATTATTTATATCTGGACTGACTTCTAATCAATCTGTAGTAGGTCACTTTACACTCAACAGGTTGCTCAGACTATGGAGATACAGACCCATTGGACCTAAAACTGACAGCATATCTTCTACCTATCTGTAGAAGTAGCAATACAGTGCAGAATCCTCTGTAAGTGGATTCAGAGTAAGCTCATAGGCAAAGGATCCAGGATATTTCATCCCCTGCAACCTGGATTCTTTCCAAATTAAGAAAAAAAAAGTGGTGCCAAGCATTCTGTTTCAAGATAGGCAAGGTTAGTCTTAATTTTTATGAGCTGTTTTAAACCTGGGGACATTTTGGATTCCTTGTTTCTGCACAGAGAGGAAACAGTTATTTTTAAAAACTCATAACTTGAAAACTTTTTGCCAAAACTTCCCAAATTTCGAACAGAGCAAGAGCAGACGGTCTGCTACATCTGTACCAGCTTGCCACAACCAGCCAGTCTTCAGATACATACAATATTTTACCCTGCCTTTCTCCTTAAAAAGGACCCAAGGCAGCTTACATCATTAAAAGATAATATTTAAAGCTAAAAACAAATATTAAAACAAATTTGAGTATGCAAATATTAAAAAGGAACAAATACCACTCTGTAAACAAAAGCAGTACTAAAAACACATGCAAAGATTGTCTGGAAGCTTCTTGAAGGGTGTAGTGAATAAGCACATGTACCTTTGGTAGTCAACAAAAACATTACTCTTTAGTTTAGTCAATTGATTATTTATCATTATATTTGATTCCTTGTAATAGTGCTTCCAGAGCAATTTTTAAATGTCAGGACTTGTTTCTTATGGCAGATTTAACAGTATGGTCAGTTAGGTCTTGAAAAGAAAAGAAACATGTTTTTAAGGGAGAGAATTAGGGCACCAGCTGCAATTTATTCAATGTCTGATCAACCAGATTGGAATTTATAAATTTTTCGTTTTACGTCTGACAATCTTGAGGTTGTGCAGAAGGAACAAATGGTGAGAATGCAGACAGTTTAACTCACCGTGACTGATGGCCTAGTAATGAATTTACCTAATAAGAAACAAATCCGATACTGTCAAGTAGGATTAGCAGCCAGGTTAGCTAGCTTGAACTGTTTCTGAAAGCCAAGCTGATAAGGGTCAGTGGGTTTCTTTTAGTATCTTGAACAGCCTGGTGTCACTCATGTTCCACACTGGTCTTTCTTTATGGTAACCATCTTCTGTTACCTGGATTTGTATTCATACATTTTACTGCTTTTCCTCTTGACTTTTTTAATATACTGTGACTGAATCTTCTGGAAACTGGCAGGCTATTAGAATCTTTGTGAACTTTGTGTTATGCTTTAACTCTGCTTGTGATGTTTCCTCAGTCTTTGTCCCTTTGTCAAAATAAGCAGGATAAACAAGGTTCCTGAACAGTATGCAACAGGCATTTATTTTATTTTTAAGATCTCCTAGAAAAGGGAAGAAGGAGAAATAACCTGGGCATTTTAGAGCGCATGGGAGTAATCATTTTAGGGTACATATATCATTTCTCTGCCTATAGGAAACCATCCCAACTCTCCATATTCTATCCTTACAGTAGCTTGTCCACAATAAAAGCTTTGCGTCAGAACAATGAATTGCGGAGGCACATACATTTCTTTCAGAAGAACCCATAGTTTCTCATGATCTACACAGTCAAAGGCTTTGATGTAGTTTGTAAAGCATAGGCTGGTTATCTTCTGAAACTCTTTGGTGCGCTCCAGTTTGACCCAGCAGATATTTGCAGTGTGATCTCAAGTGCCTATTCATTTTCAAAATCCAGCAATTCTCACTCCATATACGTAAATTAAAAGCCTTTGTTGCAATATCTTGAGCATTGTAAATTAAAAGCCTCTGTTGCAATATCTTGAGTATCACTTAACTTGCATGGGAAATTAAAGCAATAATCCTGTAGTTACTGCACCCCTTGGCACATCGTTTCTTAGGAATTGGAATGTACATTGAATGTTTCCGGTCAGTGGGCCTTTGCTTTTCATATTTGTTGGCATAGTCTTGTTAGGATTTTGACAGATTCAGTCTCTGGTTTGAAATACCTTTATCAGTATCCTATCTACCCCTGGTAATTTATTTCTTCCTAGTGCTTTCAGAGCAGCTTTCACGTCACTTTCCAGAACTGCAAATTCTTTCTCATAAGATTCCTCTTAATAGGAGTCTCTCATCCTCTCATCTCTTCAGCATGGTTTCCTGTAGGCAAATGTGACATACAAGGGTGCATTTTATTTCTTTATCTGTTCAATCTGAGCTAGACTAAATTCATATGAAGTAGGAGTGAAAATTGGTAGAAGAAATTTACAATATGCAGATAACACATTTTACTGACAGAAAGCAGCACTGACTTGAAATGACTGTTTGTGAAAGTAAAAGAAGAAAGCACCAAAGCAGTATCTCATTTGAATGTTGAGAAGACAAAAACATGATTACAGAAGAACTATACAACTTAAGCATTGACAATGAAGAAATTAAAATACTCAGAGCTTTTGTATACCTTGGTTCAGTCATCAGTGCAAATGGAGACTTCGGCCAAGAAATCAAAAGAAGACAAAGACTTGGAAGGGTAGCAATGAAGGAATTAAACCCTCAAGTGTATCTCTCTGGAGACAAAGGCCAAGATCATCGACACTCTTCTATTTCTAATCGCCATGTATGGGTGTGAAAGCTAGACAGTAAGGAAAGCTGACAGGGAAAAAATGACTTGTTTGAAATTTACAGATACCCTGGACTGCCGGAAATATGAACAAATGGGTCCTAGATCAAATCAACCCTGAAGTCTCTTTGGATGCAAAAATGTTGAAACTGAGGTTGTCCTACTTTGGACACATCAGCAGAAGACAAAATTCTCTGGGAAAGACAATAATGCTGAGAAGGGTAGAAAGTAGCAGGAAAAGAGGAAGACCAAATATGAGATGGATTGACTCCCTAAAGGAGACCGCAGGCTTCAGTTTGTAAGAGCTGAGCTGGGCTGTTGAGTAGAGGATATTTTGTAGATTGCTTATTCATAGAGTCACCGTATGTTGAGAGCGACTTGACAGTACATAACAACATCAACATGGTTTCTTATTTTGTATACTGGCATAGGTATGTGTTCTTGAAACATGTATTCAGATTGTACGTTGAGAGCGACTTGACGGCACATAACAACACGAACATGGTTTCTTATTTTGTATACTGGTATAGGTACTAAAGATCGAAGTATGTGTTCTTGAAACATGTATTCAGATTAAATTTGCTACTTTATCAAACATGGAAAAATAAAGGAGTTTCCTGTTTGAAAAGTTGCTGTCTAACCAAGCGATGTTGTATTTTTGAATCCATACTATGTGCCAAGTGTTTCTGAATCATTATATTATTTAATTAGCTATACCGGGTTTCCCTGAAAATAAGACAGGGTCTTATATTAATTTTTGCTTCAAAAACACATTCAGGGCTTATTTTCAGGAAAAAAAATTTTTCGTGTACAACAAACTACATTTATTCAGATACGATCATGTCACCTTCTGGTTGCTACACAATGCTGTATAATGGTGAAGGGCGGGGTTTCACTTAACTGGGCTTATTTTTAGGGTAGGGCTTAAATTATGAGCATCCTGAAAAATCATATTAGGGCTTATTTTCAGGTTAGGTGTTACTTTCAGGGAAACAGGATATACAAGTTAATGTTTTCTTTGAGTGAAAATTTGAAGCCTGTTTTCTCAATTGCTATTTCAGTATACAGGGTATTTTTTTCAAAGAAGATCCATGGCTTCCTGCTCTTACTGCTTATTTTTGCAGTTTAGCATCCATTAGAATGTTGATGATTTTTATGTAAACATTAGGTTTACTGGCTTTACTAGGAACTAGTAAACTTTAATGTTACTTTAATGTAATAATAATGTACATTAATTGTTCAACAGTAGTTTGTGCTTTGATTAAAAGATCATTGAAGCTTTTTTTTCTTATGAACAACTTCAGGTGGATGCTCTTCGATTACGTCTGGAGGAGAAGGAAACTATGTTAAATAAAAAAACTAAGCAAATTCAAGAGATTGCTGAAGAAAAGGGAACTCAAGCTGGAGAGATTCATGATCTCAAGGATATGCTAGATGTGAAAGAACGCAAGGTTAATGTTCTTCAAAAAAAGGTAGGCTATCCAAACATAGAGAACTGAGATGTTTGGTCTTGTCCAGAAAGTAATGCGCTCATGCCTGTAAAAATAATTTCTGTATGCTTGCAGTTGAACTTTCTATTATAATGGGAGATAGTTTTGTAATTGAATAAAATACAATGGCTGATATTGTGGAGCTCCACTTGTACAGCAGGAGTGAAGTCACTGGCTACAGCAGATTGTCACCAGTTAAGGAGTTCTGTTTTCAATTTTAAAGTGTGTGTGACTTGCATGCAGTGATAAAAAGTAATGTGCATCCAAAAATTGAAAAAAAAAATCTTTAATTAGGAGCCAGCTGCAGCAGCTGGCGATGTCACTCCCATTGCACAACAGGATATTGGCCAATAGTCTGTGTTGATCGGCAGATCCATTAAGGTACCCCCAGTGCTACCTTGTTTTTTTGTAGTGATCAAAATGCATTGAGAGACCTCTCATTAAAATTTCATATGAACCCACTCGCTGAGAGCGGCTATGTGATCAGTATGAAAAAATACTGTAGGTTAGATCAGACAAAGCAAATGATTGTACCTATTGTTCATTATCTCTGTACAAGTTGCACATGTGGGTTCTCTAACTATGGCAACTGTTTTCTGGACATAATCTTAAGATTAAACCAAAGAAGTGGCCCTAAAACAGACCTCTTTTTTCTCTTATAAAATGATGGAATGAGTGCTTTCCTGATCAGTTCTGTTTTTATTCTCCCTTAATAATATTTGAGGTACAAGCCACCACCTGATTTTGGAAGTAACTGTTCCTGTATAACAGGACAAGCATGGCTAAATAGAATTGGCTACAGAGTGGTTCACTGTGACACAGTTAAAATAATGAACTAATAAATGAGACAGAATTTTATAAAGCTTTGCCTATAAGGTTTGTAGAAGGCATTTTGCTCAGTGATATCCTCTTCATCATGCTGTTGAAACTACAGTGGAATAGGTTTGCTGTAATTATAACAAATATAAATTCATGAATGTGAGATATATGGTTGATTAGAAGAGCAAAAGCAATTTGGTTGACATGTTTTCTTAATATTGTACATACTGTATACTGTATATGCATGCAAAGTAACATAAGAAAGCCCCAGAAGCTTGATTGGAAAATGGGGAGTAGGAACAAAGAGCTTTAGGATCATCCATGGGGAAAGGGGGAAGACTTGAGAACATGGGTTCTTAACCTGTAGTCTGCAGATTCCGGGAAGGGTGCAGTGTCCTCACAGGGGGTCTGCGAAGACTTGAAGAAATGTTACAGTCTTTTGCAGTTAAAACAGAAAGAAAGAATAAACGAAAGAAAGAAAGAAAAGGAAATGTAGAACAAAATCTTAATTTCCCTTGCTTGTTTGTGTAAAACATGGCTTTTCTAACCTAGTGCCTCCATTAAGAACAAGCAAAAGTAAAAATTGGTTATGAAAATAACAATTTTTGATAGACCATAACTGGTATTTCTGCACCTGGTGAGAATATACAAGTGAATGTCACTGTGCGGCTGAGAGATAACGTGTGACATTTCTTGCTACTGCACAGACAGTCAGAAGCCATGGGAAGAGAGAGTCGGAGTCAGTGTGAGTGAGTCTTCAGGTGGGCTTCGTAATCATATTTCTTCTTTGATTTCTCCTAATAGAATCATTTAGTTATAGTTGGGTAAAGTGACTTTTCTAATATCGCAGTGAATTTTGTGACAATACCTTTTGGCTGAGCCTCAGAATGGATTGCTCGCTGAATCTGAAATGTGGAAAAAAAACCTGATGCTGTTGTTGAGGGTGCCTCCTGTTCAAAGCAAAATGAAGCTTCTTTCAGTCATTTTTAAAATTTTCCCTTTATAGCAAGGAATATACTGCTGTTTAGAAGATTCCTTTTTCTTTCTGGGAAGGCATGGAATATTAGTTGTCCTCTACTAAGGAAAGGAGTTCTGTGTAGTCTTCAGAAATCTATTACATTATTGTTTCCTCATGGTCTGTTTCATTTCTTGCTCTTCCCGCATTTAAGATTGAGAATCTACAAGAGCAGTTGCGGGACAAGGAGAAACAGATGAGCAGCTTGAAAGAAAGAGTAAAATCCCTGCAAGCTGACACTACCAACACCGATACTGCCTTGACCACACTGGAAGAAGCACTTGCAGAGAAAGTGAGTATGAAGGAAAAATTGGAATCTTAACTAAATCAAGTGCGATCCCCAAGGCAGAACGGTGTCCTCTGTTTGTAGAGAGATTCCTTTTGTTTTCTTCTATAGCAGAGGCAGAAAGGCGGAGCTCCTCTTGCATATTTTCACTAGCGTTGTGGATGAAACATTTCTAATAAAACATTTCTGGCTAGGGGAGATGAAAATGAGCATTTTTATGTTTCCTGTGTGTTTATCTAACTATTTTGTTGTTGATCCAAGATGTTATATGTTTGTTTTATTTATTGCATTTTTGATTGACATAAAATTTAAAAGCACATGTAGCATGACTTCTTCTGCAACCTGTTCACTCCTTAAAATAGTTCCTGAGGAGGAATTTCATCTAAACAAAGTACTGTAGATGAAATTTAGATTTTCAAATATGGGTTTATTATTTAGGTGTATCACTATACTGACTCACTTGCTTCTGCTTTGCCAGCTTGTACTTGAGCAGCTTGTGAAAGGCATGGTAGAAACAAACAAGGAAGAAATGTTTCTTTGCCTTGTTAATGATATTTTAAAAGCTGTCAAGGAGTTTGTTTAGAACAAACCATTACATATAACGGCAGATTATGTGATGCAACAAAGAAAGCATTTATTTGTTAAAAATACAGTAATCAAGTGAGGGGGTATCCTGTTTGACATAAGACCGTTATAATCATATAGAGCAGTGGTTCCCAAACTCCCTTTCCTCCCCGATCCTGGGCATGGGCACTCTTTCCTCACATGCAATTTATTCTCCCTGGGTTTGGCTCCTGGCCCACTCAGTCTCAGACAGGTTGACAGGATCTCTCCTCCTCCACTGTCCCCAGGTGAACTGCAGGCCGTGGCACCTCAGAAGGAGCCAGAGCCAGAAAGGGCACCTCTCACCCCTACCCATCCCTACCCCACTGGCTCAGCCCCTTATCCCACTGCAGGAAGAAGGTGGAGGGATTTGGAGCTGGCCCAAACCACCTCTTGTAATGGTGGCAACAGTGGTGATGTACAGAGGAGGCACCTTCCTCCCACGTACCCCGCTTTCCATGGCTCCCTGATTGATAGTCCACAGAGTCGTGGCTGAGTGGGGTGAGAGACAGGCAGCTCCATGGGCAGCTAGGAAACAGCCCAGCCCATCCACAAGTGAGCAATCGGGGCCATACCAACAACCTTAGCCAGGATGACCAAGTGAGGCGAGATCAACACAGCACAAAGAGGTGATTGGAACCTCCAGACGCTGCCAAGAAGCTGCAGCTGAGAGACAGGTGGAATGCTCACGGCCTCTTAAAAGGTTGTTGGGGATTCAGCCAGAGAGTTCGACCGGTACTTATCTACCACCTTTGCACTGGATCGAGTCCTTAGACCTCAGCAGTGCGTAGCATAAGCCTTTTGAACAAGTCTGACCTAAGAAGAACACTTTGCACTTACTCAGTACTTCGCAGGTACAGGCACATGGGCTTTGTGATTCCTTAGAACTCACAACAGCTCAGGTAGGACTCTTGAATGATAGCAAATCTGTGGCCCTCTTCACTACTGCAATTAGCCAGACCCTGCAGTTCAAGAGACAAGTCCTCAGTAAGGATTTTTAATAATTAATTTTTATTAGAAAAATAAAGTTTCATTAGAAATCAGTTTATATTGCAAAAGCATTAGCATTCAAGAACATAAAGATCATTGCAGTTAAATAAGATAACTATTTCCCATTAAAACAATAAAACTAGAAAGCTAACCTAAGGTAGGCTATACTGGGCTATGGTGGGCTAGCCCCCACCTTTTTCTTTCTCCTTTACGTACATCCTCTCTCCTTCATGCTACATGCTCATACCATCATCATGGAACGAAATCCATCATCAGCACAGAATCCATCATCAGGAATCATTGAACACACTTCACATAACCCATCTTCCATTTCTGTTTTTCCGTACTCCTCCCTTCTTCATGGCCCATCGGGCTGTTAACCAATTAAATTTAAGAGGTTATACCACCTCTCTCCATCCTCATTCCCATGAGAGAGTCCAGATGTTGTTTATGTCTTCTGCAACAAGCTTGGAATGTTGAGTCTCCCAGGGCCTATCAGTTTGGCCTTCAAGTTATCTGGATGCTTGGCTGTAACAGTCTTCAGGAAAACACTCTCAGGATGCTTAGAAAAACACATTCCAAAGTCCCACAAATCATCTTCACACAGAACCTATCTGACTCCAGTTTACATTTCTCTGACTACATATCCCATCATCATGACACACTTCTGACCACATATCCCATGATCATGACAACAGGGACTTTGTTCTCTGTTCCCTTCCCTTTCCCATGGCTCCCCTCAAGAGACTTGGCAGCTCACCCAAGCATTGCAGCGCACCCTTTGGGAAAGGCTTAAATAGAGATTTGATCCTCTACAGAAGGGGTCTCCAAACTTTTCAGCGTGAGGGCCATATCATATATGTTCCACATTTTTGAGGGCCAAAGGAACACGTGCCCGCTCGCCTGAAGGCATGCTACAAATTGTACAATCTTAGAATGTATCTCAGAATTATCTCCTGTGTAAATGGCAACATATAATTGATGTAAAGAGTTACAGAATCTCAGAATAAATGCAGTCACTCTAAAGAGAGTTTGTAAAACTGCTCCAAGTGAGACTTACAGTGGGGTCTTGACTTGAGAACTTAATCCGTATTGGAAGGCGGTTCTCAAGTCAAAAAGTTCTCAGGTCAAATCTGCACATTTCTCTGACTACATATCCCATCATCATGACACACTTCTGACCACATATCCCATGATCATGACAACAGGGACTTTGTTCTCTGTTCCCTTCCCTTTCCCATGGCTCCCCTCAAGAGACTTGGCAGCTCACCCAAGCATTGCAGCGCACCCTTTGGGAAAGGCTTAAATAGAGATTTGATCCTCTACAGAAGGGGGCTCCAAACTTTTCAGCGTGAGGGCCATATCATATAGGTTCCACATTTTTGAGGGCCAAAGGAACACGTGCCCACCCGCCTGAAGGCATGCTACAAATTGCACAATCTTAGAATGGATCTCAGAATTATCTCCTGTGTAAATGGCAACATATAATTGATGTAAAGAGTTACAGAATCTCAGAATAAATGCAGTCACTCTAAAGAGAGTTTGTAAACTGCTCCAAGTGAGACTTAGTTGTCTGAATTTAACCAGAGATTCCGTTTCAATTTTTTTTGGCTTGTAAACTGTTTTGATTTCATATTTGCCAAATGAATTTTTGAATTTGTCATTTGTTTTCCAAGTAATTAAATGTTGTTTGGTGTATCCTTTGAACAAATTGCTTCCTTTATATTTTTGCATCCTTTAAATGCATGCTCATGCTTGCCATTTTTATTCTTAACTTTCCTGGTGACAATTCCCTTTAAAGATGCGAAACAATGGATCTCTTTAGCTTTATGGCGTGTTTTCTAATGGGTATTTCAGAAGTAGTTTCTGCTTTCTCAATTCTTCAGTTTCTGTGATTCAGCTATCTTTGTAGTATGCTGTACTTGGATTTCATTTCTAAGGGAGGAAAGTCTCTTCAGCAGATACATACCATATGTTTTTAATTTAAATGTCAGTCTTGTAAGTGAAAGGTTACAGTGGCTTGTTTAGGGTTGTGATCCTATATACCCTAGAAAATGTGTCCCATTGACCTCAGTGGGGTTGTGTCTGAGTTGAGCGAACAAAGAAATGTGGAAATCAGCATTTGCTCACCCATTAAGAGTTTAAGATGCTTGGATAGACAGATTTGTTTCCTTTTTCTTTTTCCCTCGGGTCAGGAGCGTACTATTGAACGTCTGAAGGAGCAGCGTGATAGAGATGAACGAGAAAAACAAGAGGAGATTGACAACTATAAAAAAGATCTAAAGGATCTGAAAGAGAAAGTCAGCGTCTTACAAGGAGATCTTTCAGAGAAAGAGGTTACAAATATAACCAGAATCACAAATATATATTTTACAGTCTTACTTTGTTGAAGGAATTGTAGTTGAAAATATTAGTTCTATGAAACTTACATAAATTTGTATTATACAAGTGAATGTTCATGCAAAAGCCTATTATGGCCTATGAAATTGGGGTCCAGACTATTGATAAAAAATTGTAGTACCACTTGAATCCATACCCATACAGTATAATCCACTGAGTAACTGTGAAGAGGGTGGATTGTAAATAGTTGATTTTTTTTAAAGTTTGTTATGTTTTGGCTCTGGAATTGCGCTTCTGAAGTAACAAATTTAGATCACTATGCCTGGAAATGGATATTCATGTGAGGTGGAAGCTCTTTATTTTAGGAGACAGTTCTTTTTCTGCGTCAAAGAACCATTTTCAGACTATGTCCCCCAAAATTGAAAACCAGTAAATTCAATAAACTGTTGTGTCTATGTCCCAAACAAGAGAAATATAACATTTTTAGTAGTCCGTAGGTAGTGTAAGTAGTAGCAACAGTCCTGTGACACCTTTGAAGACTTAACAAATTTATTGTGACAAATGTTCTGTAGATTAGAGTTGACTTCATGAATGAAGTATTTTCATCAGTTGGCAGATAACATATTGAGGTAAAGAGGAAAAAATTCAGATGGAAAAATACTTACATTTTGTTGTGGAAAGCATAAATGCAAAATCCATCTCTGCCAGTTACCTTAAAACTGAAATCTGTGCAACGCACTTGTCTGATTTAATTGATGTCCCAAGATCCTTTAATTTTTGCTTCTATATATCAGCACAGGTACCCCTCTGGGAACTCAGATTAGTAGCTGGTTAGGTTCATAGTTAAATGTGTGAATAATAGTTGCTGCTAACAGGCACTTAAACAGATTCCTGGCTAATACTAAAAAAGAGAGTTAGTTTTGGCTTCATATGAATATCTAAAGAAAGGTATTGTTCCAGAGCAAGGATCAACGAGCAATGAATATATGAGCTTGAAATCTTGTTGAAATAGTTGAAGAATCTGGTTTTGTGCATACTCTTTTAAACATGAATTCTAAACATACTCTTCATTCTGCTCTAGACTACTTTGCTGGATTTGAAGGAACATGCTTCATCTTTAGCATCATCAGGTCTGAAGAAAGACTCTAGGCTGAAGACACTAGAAATTGCCTTAGAACAAAAGAAGGAAGAATGTCTGAAAATGGAATCTCAATTGAAAAAGGTAAATATAAAGCATACACTCACTTAAGTAGAAAGCAGTAATTCATCTGTTCACATTGTCTCTTTTAATCATTCTACTCGTATATGTTCTTATGTAGTGATGCATTATTACTCTAGGATCAGTAAAGTATTGCCATGTACAAATGGCTGTATTTAGTGATGGAACAGTTCATTAGAGACCTACACTGAAAGGAAATAGCAGCTGAGTAACCCTCACATCTTCTTTCCATGCTTCTACACATATATTTGAAAACCTTCAACATTTCTCCTGTAAGGAGATTTTTGTCCTTTCAATGTATATCTGTGAAAATTTTCAGTCATCCAGGTGTGGTTATCTGGAAGATGAGTCATGGCAACTGGACTTATTTGTTGTTAGACTGAAGAAGCTACTTGGAGGAGTAGTTAAACACTTCGACCTAACAAGAAGTTCAGTTGCCATGACTCAACTTCCAGATTTCAACAGTGATGCAACTCAGACATCTTCAGTGGAAAATATAATGTTACTCCATTTTCTACATAATATATAGAAGCATGGAAAGAAGGATGCACAGGTCACTTCTATATCTTTATTATACAAATAACCTTGAAAATACAGAGATTGTAGGGCTGTCAGTGAGGTGATAAAATTGGTTTGCAAAAAGAATTGTTAAATGAACACAAACACAGGTATGACAAAGCTTGTGCTTTGAGGTGCTGAATAGTAAGTGGGTTTGGTGAAGAGTTATCGTTAGTTTTGCTTGCAAAATGTAGTGTAAAATACTAATCTTATGAATCTAGAGAATGTGACAGTTGTGCAAATGTACATTTTATTGTGGTATCGGAATGGATTCACAGTCTAATGGACTAAAAAAAATGGAGACGAAATCACCTTACATAGAAAGAATATGAAAGAAGAGTTATTGAGAAGATTGGTAACAAAAACATCCATGCAAATGTATGGACAAATACTTTTAACTCTTCAAAATATAATTCATTTTTTTAAAGCCTTGGAATACATTTTCTCTGAAATTTACCTTTAAAATTTAGTCCTGTTGTAGATCATTCCTGAATACATGCACTTCTTTTTTGAAGCATACCGTAGACCTGGGGATATTCTAGTCCTTTTAGTAGGATGCCATCTTGAGTAGCAGAAAGAAGGAAAGAGACTGGTATGACTTTGTCAACACATCAAAAGCACCCTGGGTTTGCTCGGTCATTAAAACTCAGACTTAAAGCACTATCCATTTCATAAATATGTTGGGTAAGATACATTTAATCCATTTGCTGACATTGTCTGCAAACTATTATTAATGGCTGCATGGTTTCTTTTGGCCTATTGTGATTCCCAGTAACCCGCCACACATTCAGATGAAATTGTCAAGACTGGCACCTGAATCTCTGGGGGTACACAAACAAAAGCAAATTTAGTCAGCTGCAGTTATAGAAAGAGTTTCTAAAAGGATATGGCTAGCAGGAAAAATGTGGACAGTTTCTCTTTATCTGGTTATATAAGCATTGCTTTTCTGTATGTTCGTTGCTTACATCAGTTCTGAGGAAGGTAAGAATCTTCTATATAAGCAAGTTCAGTTAATATTCAGAGGTTAGGTGCTTGACCCTTGAAGAGGTGGCTGAGGGTGAAACACTGAATAACTTCACAAAATATTTATGGTGATAGGAGTAAAATAATCTACTTGTTGCTACTCTGTATCACTTTAAACTACATTGCAAATGTTTCTTCTGATAATACTGGGTGAAATTCTGTTGTACAGTTACACAAATAGCATAACTTTTGGAAACTAATTTTGTAAGTTAAGAAATCTCCATAGCATCCCTTGTACACTCAGCCACATGACTTGGAAGGCATCAACGAATGACTGTGGAGATTTCTTAACTCACAACAATTGATGTCTGAATGTTACGCTATTTGCGCAACTATACAACAGGATTTTATTCACTGAAGAAAAGTGGCTGCAATGAGATTTTCACATCTGTATGTCTATTCATGCACCTCCGTGTCAGAGGGAAATTTCTGCCTCTCACTTGGTAGCCTTTGGATGCAGGGCCATTAAACACATGTCAGTTTTAACTATTTATTAGAGAGCAGAGAAAAATACTCATTCTGTGAACAAATTATAAAATGATGTATATATAAATAATGAAAACAAATTTTGCCTTAGTTTTGAACTTCTAAAATATGTTGCAGTCAGGTTTTCAGTATGTTGCACATGTTCTGCAGGGCTTGGAAAGATACCACAAGTTAAAAATTTTAATCCTATATATCCAAAAATGTTCAGTAAAATCACAAATTGGTGTTGATTTACTGTTTAAAGTGTTCATTTTTTGAACATCTTTCCAACTGCTTTTTAACCTAGGTAGGTAATATATTGCCAGAGATTATCCAAACTGCTATTCGGAAGAAAAGTGTTCAAATATTGAGGCAAAAGGCTCAGAAGACAAGGAGGAGGTGGAACTAGCCTGAATTCATTCACAGTGTTAAAACTTCTATTTCCAGTCACATCCTAAACCTACATTTACATTTTTCTCTAATATCTTTGCATCTTTCCTTTGACTGTTTGCATGTTATATCTTTTCTCTCTCTCTTGCACTGTTCCTTTTCCCTGTTCTTCCCCTCTTTTCCTATCTTCTCCTTAGCATCCTGAAGTCTTACTGAGTCACCCATCCAAGCCAGTAAGTGCCATGAAAAACTGGAAGGCCCTTGCCAGCTCCATTTGATTGTCTGTTCTGCATGTACAGTATATTCACTTGTGTCTTTGTAGTCAGGAGCCAGCATGATACATATTGGTGAGCTCTTTTGTAGGACTGGGAACTAGATGGGAATAGGAGGGAGGAGATCCTCCAAAACTTTGCAGTAATGCAGCTTTGAACAACCTAGGAAAGTCTTCATTGGCTTTCTTTGCTGCTGCTTTCTTCTTTGTAATTAGCTTCATGGAGTTGTATTATCCTTCTGATTTTCAGTGTAACATTGAACTTGAATGTGCTTGTTAAAAATCATCAGAAGTTTAAAGCAGGACAGATTAGGGGGAATTTTTGTCAGGTTTGCATCTCTTCTGTTCTTTGAGGAACTCAGGGTAGTATGTACATATCCCTCCCCTATCTTTATTCTCACAAATATCGTGTGGGGGAAGTTAGGAACAGAAATAGTGATTGGCTCACAATTAACAAGTGAGCTTCATGGGTAAGAGCAGATCTGAGTTTTGTTCAACACTTTGAGAGCACTACATGCAATGAAACAATTTTTGTCGTACATTTCTGTGTGAATCTCCTGCATTATTTTGTTGATTAGATTTTACTGAGATGTGCTCATACTTCCTTAGTTTGAGACAAGTCCTGGTTATGAAGGAGTAGAGTTATCATTGCTACTGGAGTAATATGTAACTGCAGTTAAGGTCATTACCAGGAAGGTGTGTGTCATCCTGTCTGTTGGCAAGATTCTGATCTCCCAAGTATAATTAAGAGAAGCCCAGATGGTAATCTGTCTTAGACTCTTTTTGACCATCTGCTCTGTAATTAGAATTTAAGAAGGCATTCTCTGCTAGGGAATCATCAGTAAAGTCCACTCCTAGATAACAATAGATCATCTTTGTCAGTGACAACCTGTATAGTACTAACATATTCTCCCTGTTTAGAAGTAAACTTTCTGCCATGCTGCTGGGAATGAACCAGAAAAGCCTCTTTTTTTGAAATAAATACTCTGCATTGCTAGTTAACCTGAAGAGAGAGACAGGCTGCCTGCTCATTTTGGTTTCACTTTGGAGGATGTTTTAGGATATATGATGCTGCCTCCAAGAACTTTAGAAGTGTTGGGCTAAAAAGGAGTGAGCTGAGTGCATCTTGAGAGCCAAATGAGGCCCCAGGCATTTTTGCAGCCTGCAGTGCCCCCTAGTTCCAAACATTTCCCCCCCAAACTTTGGGAGCCAAAAATGCCTTTAAGAGCATTCTGCATTTTTTTGCCGATTGTGTTTGTCCAACCCCTGAACCTGCCCAATGAAACTGAAAACATTGGTTTATGCAGTTATTCAGAGGCATTTCTGGTCCCTATGTTGCCTGTGATGGAAGCTGGGGTTTTGCATTTAGCCCCAAAGTAGATTAATTCTGGAGTAGTGAAAGATGATTTGAGTTGCCATGAGGACTAAAGAGTGAATAGATAGCAAAATAATTATTGTGGTTTTGGAATTAATTATCCATATGGTTATAGTATCTGTATGAAATAACAGTTGAATTGGTTTTAGTGTATCTTTTCATTGCATAATTCCCTTACAGTTGGTTAAATAGTCTAATACTTCTCTAATGGCTGCTTATCTAAGAAGGAGGATGAGTAAACTGAGGTCAAAAGTATAGAAACAAAATTATTTTGAACATGAGGACTCGAATATAATAATAAATACCCAGTTATTTCTATAGTTGTATGCAATGTATGTTTCAGTTAATTAGTAGTAACCCATAGGTCATGAAAGACTTTCTCATTCTGCTTACAGAGTGTAAATATGGACCTTTTTGTATGCAATATTTCAGGTGGAAAAGTTATTTCACACTGACTCTCTTCCCTTAATATTCTCTGTGGCCAAGCAGTCTTGCTATCCTCCTGCTGGCCTTTTTATCTTGTTCTGACATAGGCAGGAGAGAAACATTTAGTAAGTGTATTGTATCATAAAGGATACGGAAGTAGTAGAGATAAATGAGAAAATGCTTGATTAACGTACAGCCATGGTAGGATTCATGTTGGAACATGAAATATTTAATGACAACCATAATTTCTTACTTTGAGACAGATTTATAAATGCTACTCTAAATCTTCCTATTGAAGCAAATAACGCTTCATCAAGTACAGCTAAGCCCGTTTCATCATAGCCTACTTTCACTAGACTAACATTTCTGAATTCAGTATTGCTCTGACATTGAACCAGAGTTCCCCATGGATAATAGTGAACTCTATACATAGCATGGTCTCTGACTTCCTCTAGTTGCCAGTTCTGGTAACTACAATGTGGAAATATGTATTTCTCTTTCTCTGACTTCCTCTAGTTGCCAGTTCTGATAACTACAATGTGGAAATATGTATTTCTCTGTGTTTTTTTTTCTTTAAATTTTAAAAATATTTTCAGACCTCAGATAAGTGAAACCGTAGGTGCTGACCCCGTGGATATGTTGGTCTTCTTGTACTGCTTCCCAGCAGCAGTTGGTCATGGATTACTGCTCTGAGAGCCTCCATAATTTTGGGGGAGGAGTTGAGGAAGCTGTTTCTGAAAGAAAATGGTAAAGCACTTCATGAAAGTGAACCTTTGGGGGGTTTGCTTCTTTATTTTGGTTCTCTACTGGAAAATTAGATAAAAAGCAGGAAAAGGGTTTCCATTCTTACCAAGCTTGGTAAGTACATGTCAGAGGAAAAGGAACAGGACAGTGGAACAGTGGTACAGAAGAAAATAGCTTGTGGAACAATTACTTTTAAATAATGGAGAAAGGTTTTCCCAATTCATAATAGCCATTATTAGATAGTACAGTAGTTACTATTAATTAATGTTAGGTAGTGGAGAAATATTGCTTAATTTTTAATTTGCTTGTTCCCATAAATAAACACTTGCCTTTCCTGTGTAAATATTAATCTAGAGATATCTACTTGAACAGTAGTTCAGGGGAGTACTGGTGGTTCTGGCAAGTCCACAGCAGTGCATCATAACTTCTGGTTACGGTTGTAAGCAGGATGGCTGGGGTCTTTGTTTCATGGAACTGTAGATATGGAAGGGACTTCCTAAGAGTCACTGAGTCCAATTCCCTTCCAAAGCAGGTATCATATAAGAGGCTCTTCTCACTTATTTTTAAAGAACAATGCTGTGTTATAAATGGGAAAAGTAATTTTTCAAATACTTTTTTCTATTCAGGCTCATGAAGCAGCATTGGAGGCAAGGGCCAGTCCAGAGACAAGTGACAGACTTCAGCAATTGGAAAGAGAAGTGGCACGATACCGGGAAGAATCAAGTAAAGCCCAAGCGGAAGTCGATCGTCTGCTAGAAATCCTTAAGGAGATGGAAAATGAGAAGAATGATAAGGATAAGAAGATAGCAGAACTGGAAAGGTGAGATCATTATTAGATGTTTCAGGGAGAAAAGTCAGGTTTCAGCTAACTAATCTTGTCTTTAAACTTTTTTTAGTTTTATTTATATGCCACATTAATCTGTTGATGTTTTTCATATTGCTTTCTGACTAGTCCAAAAATACTTTCATATTCTGGAGTTTATGGGAATAATTCAGATCCTGTGAAAGTGAAGACAAAGTATTGTAGCTTAATGAAATAGCGATTTTAACTACATATGCATACATACTTGAGCCTGATGGGTTTTTATTAGTTACTTCAATTGATTGCTACAGGACAACTTCTTTTTCTAAAAAGCGACTAGGCTGGTCTTAGCCTTAGATATATTAGTAATATATTAACTTTCCTTTTCAGCCAACTTTTCTCCCTTTTCCCTCTTTTGAACTTATTTCATGTCTTTCATGCAGGGTTGACTGCATTTTGTTAATAGGCAGGAAAATCACATAAACTGAGAACACTATCGGGATTGAATTTTCTCTAATGATAAAATTAATCTTTGAGATGAGATGATATCATGGGATTGTTTTATTGAACAGCTTCAGTCTTTTTCCTTTTGACTTTATATTTTAACATTGAACCTAGAAATAGAATGTGTAGTTATTAGAGACATTTTTGTAAGCTATTCATAAACAGAGCTATCCAGGGTAATCTAAGATGGAAAACATTGTAGGAAAAATGTGCATCCGATGTTGCTCTCTCTCATTGCCAGCTGCTGTAGTGTACAGTGAAGGATCATTTAAATGTGAGAAAACATTTTTTTTTCAATCCATTCGGAACCTACATGCGCAAGAGAGCTTAGTGAGGTATCTGGATTGGGTTACCTTCTTAGGTTTGCTTCCTGAATGGTGTTAACTTCTGTTTAACTGAAAGAGCAGTTTTGAAAATGAATTATTAATCTCATGTTTTCCCATATGTTTTCTCATAAAATTTTAAGAACATTTATATGAGTTGTGTATTGATGAAATAACAGAAAAAGTATTACTCCCTTTTTCATTTCATTCAGACTATGCAATGGAAATAAAAAAGTTTTAGAGCTGGAATTTTTCTTGAAATGAATTACAATCCAATTTTCTTCACCAGTTAAATACATCCAGTTAAACGTATTTCTGTATCTTACCAGTATATGAATGCTTCCTGAATTTGAGCATGCTGCAGGCAAGATTGTTCATTTTTCCTTCCAGTCACCATTGAAAATGTTATCACTCTTATCAGAGAAGTCTGAAACGTTCAGAATCATGTTTGTTTGTTTAAAAAATAGCTCCTTTTCTCTGTACTGATAGAGGGTATAAAAAAACACACTGTGACATTCTAGAGTGCTTGAAATCCAGATAAATGCATAAACAGTTTTCCTTGTGAAACTTACAGTCTTGTGGGATAAAATGTGAGACGATGGTATGGCACTCTGGTTGTAATTGATGACAATTCCATACCATTTCAGTTTGGTGGAGAAAGTATGCTGTATTATTTGAGAGCCTCTTTTGCCAACACATTTAAATCTGTGGTTGGTAACAGTAAAAATTAGTGCTTTTTGTTTTTGAGATCATAGTAAATATTCTGAACTATTCATGTTCTTGAGATGCACAAGGGAGCACCATAGTTTATCATTTATTTATTTACAATATTTTAAAGATTCATTTCAGGATATATTGCTCTTACAAGGCGGTTTGCAGGATCATAAAACAGATGCAAATACAATTACCTTCATAGACAAAGAAATAAAAAACAGTAGGAAAAGCCAGGAACTGAAGTTTTTTGTTTTCAGGATTTGCTTAAGTGAGCAGTGATTAGGCCATATAGATCTCCTTGGGGAGGGTGTTTGGAAAGTATGGAGACGTTGCACCTTGTCCTTGACTAAAAACTCTCATTGGTGGAATAAAAGGTGATTGTAGTGCTTTGGTAGGCTAAAAGAGCCTTCAGATAATTTGATCCCAAAGTAATTAGGACGTTGTAGACTAAAACTAGACATTTGTAATTTTTACCATTGACTTTGCAGCTTGTGCTTGTTACTCCACTGTGATACAGTGACTTGATGTTAAAAGTTGTAACAAGTAGAAACTAGCATAACCATTGCCTTAACTCTGAGGTTCCTCTTACTAATAAGGAGAAGGAAGAGAAATTGAGCTGGAGAAGTTATCAAGGAGGCTTCTGGTTACTTTTTCTCAGAAACAGAAAGAAAATACAGCACAGAAGTGATGGAAGCAGAACATGCAGTAGTACAGAAGAAGAAATGTAATGAGGGAGTGAATTTACTTACAGTACAGTTCTATGAAAATAAATTTTGTTGTCTTCAATGTCGTTCACTCCGTCTAGTGTATCTACAATTCTAGCCTTACATGCAAATTCTTATAGCTCTTTTTACAGAATTTCAGTAGTTTAAATTTCATTATAAGCAAAATACACCTGAACAGATGTATTTTCAGTCTGCAGGAAGGAGCCATCCAGGATTGGGTTTATTCCTTCCTTGGCCCAGTCTAGGCAGGAGGAGTGAACTTGAAAAGGCTTAATAGTCACATCTGGACCAGACTAAGGAAGGGATTGACCCATTCCTGGATGTCTCCACCGCAGACAAGAATGGACCTTCATGGAGATGGATGTCTCCTTCACCGCAGACAAGAATGGACCTTCATGGAGGTAAGTCAATGTCCCATTTTTATGCAGTTCTCTTCACATGTATTGTCTGTCTCTCCAGTTCCTCTTCCTAACAAACTACTTGTTGTATTGTCATGCCATAATCATCTAATGCTTCATTGATGATTATTTGTTTCCGCCCTCTTTCTATTCCCTCTGGCTTTCTTGGGTTGTTCTGTGCTTGTGATTTCATTGGCAATGCCTGTTCTCAGATGGTATGCATCGTACAAAATGGCCTCCCCATGCCATGTGTCTATCCCTGTACCAAAGCCTGTAGGGGGATTTGTATGGGACTTTTTAGGAAAGTGAGTTTCTTATACAGCAATTGTTCATGCTGGTGGAATGCTGCTTTCTGTTAATTGGCTGCAGTATTTGCTAGAGTTTGCTATAGTGAAATGTTTATGTGTGGCTGTGCATGTGAACAGTAAGAGCATTTTAATAACACATTTTGAACTAGATCTGAACCTTTTAGCAAGCAGATTCTAAAATGCATATTGTATCATGCTGCTTGTTCAGTACAGGGTTTATTTAAAATATTTTTACTCCACCTTTCTCCTTAAGAAGGACATAAGGCAGCTTACATCATTAAAATATAGTTTTAAAATATAGTTTTAAAATATAGTTTTTAAAGCTAAAAACAGTACATATATAAATACTAAAAAGGATCAAATGAATACCACACAAGACAGTCAACAAAGGCAACACCAAAACCATCCATTTAAAAACGCAACTCAGGCAGCCTGTCATTAAGGGAAAGCCTGCCTGAAGAGAAAGGTCTTCTCCTGCTTACAGAAGGTGGTTGCCAGCCTGGTGTCCTGTGGGAGGGAGTTCCAATGTCTGGGATCATCAACAGAAGCATAATGTAATGGAATATAGTCCATGACTTGTTTACAGAGGTAATCATTGTTCTCTCTCTTCTAGGCAGGTTAGACTACTTAACTTGCACCCTATAATGCTGATAACAGCAGCAGCAGTGACAGCAGTTTTTCAGAAATTAAACATTTCTGACTTCTCTGTCAAAGCTCCTGATAGGCCTGTGTAATCCTGTACATCATTGGGAGGGAGTCCATGGAAGCTGCAGGAGAGAAGGGAGAAGTCTATAATTAACAACAATTGCTGCCTGGATAACTTTACTGGCAGTGATGTTTAGTAATTAAAGAGTCTCCCGTTCTTTTTTCACAGCTTTCATGGGTTCTGAGCAATGAAAGGGATGACACAAAAGCTGCAGGAGAAAAGTTGGAAATGTTTAATTTCTGGAAAAACTGCAGCTGATGATGACATCATAAGCCTTACATAGCATAAGTTATGGGAACAGGAATTTTTAAAAATCACATTAATTTTTATTTGTAGTCTTTCAACTGCTACATATCAGAAAAAAGAAATATCTCCACAATCCATCTCAATTGATTCTTCATGTTCATCCATTGGTACTAAAGGAAAGAAATGGTGGCAGAGGGAGCTTTCCCCCCATTGTAGTATTATAGAGGATCATAATTTTCTATGTTAAGAATCAATTAAAGAAATTCAACCTGTATAGATTGAAGAAAAAAAATGCAAAGGAGTATCTTGGAAAAATACAGCAGAAACTTTTGGTATTTACCAAGAATTAATCATCATCATCATCATCATCTTGTGTCTTCAAATCAATCAAAAATTATGGTGACACTTTTCAGTATTTGATCTGTATTCTTCTAAAATACGTTATTCCTTCTAGGAGTAATGACATGACCTGAAATACGAGTTTTATTCAAGCATTAAGTAGAGATACATTGGTACTCACACTACTGTATATACTTGTTAATTTCATTTCTTAAATATTTTGCCAAAGGTGAATTCTTTAGAGTGGTGGTTACCAATCTCAGGTCCCCAGATGTTCTTGGACAAAAACTCTCAGGAGCCTTAAAACTCGTTGTGTTGGCCAAAATTTCTGGGAGTTGTACTCCAAGAACATCTGGGGACCCAAGGTTGGGAACTGCTACTTTAGAGGCTTGGAAGAGGAACAGCTTTTGAATGCAGCAAGTCGTGTGGATGGCATGTGTATTTAACAAATGTTGCTTGCAATGATCTTTGCATGATTTTGTAACTTGAGATACCTCATTCTAAGTAATAATGCTTGCTTCATCTTGCTTTGTTTGGGTGTTTGCTTATTCCTTTGTATCAGTCAACTTCACTGATGTAGTTTTTAAAAAGGAAGTTGTATATTTAAATATTGTCAGATTTGTCTCCAGACTTGTCCTGCATTCTAAGTATATCATGAATGTATAAAATAACCAGCAGAGTTTTGGCTTAGTTTGATTGAATTGCCAGGTTACAAGTTGCCAAGGGTTGGGAAGTTTTTGTTGCTAAATATAAAGTTGGCATCAACAGAAACTCTTATTGAACTTTAAAAAAACCAATGTAATGTCTTGTTAGAGGTGTGAGGGCTCTGAAAATAACCTTCTTTTGAGACCCCCTTCCCTCAGACTGGTGGGACATGGTGGTGCTGCGGGTTAAACCGCAGAAGCCTCTGTGCTGCAGGGTCAGAAGACCAGCAGTCGTAAGATCGAATCCATGCGACGGAATGAGCTCCCATCACTTATCCCAGCTCCTGCCAAACTTGCAATTAAAAGGCTTGTAAATGCAAGTAGATAAATAGGTACCACCACGGTGGGAAGATAATAGCGTTCTGTGTCTAGTCGCGCTGGCCACGTGACCATGGAAACTGTCTTTGGACAAATGCTGGCTCTGTGGCTTGGAAATGAGGATGAGCACCACGCCCTAAAGTTGGACACGACTGGACTAAATGTCAAAGGGAATCTTTACCTTTGCCTTTCTCAAACTGAGTGTAAAGATTCATCTTTCAGGTTTGTCTTCTTTCTGGACCTTTATATCTCTAGTTTTTCCTGGTCTTAGTAAAGCTAATAGAGAAAAAATATTTTCTTGGCATTCAGAGGAGATATAGGTTTGCTCAGAAACATCCATCAGCTGAGTAACTTGCTTCTTTGTCAGATCTATTGTAAAAATCTACTTTCTTTCCTACTTTATATATATATATTCATTTATTCATTTATTCATTTATTCATTTATTCATTTAACTTATATGCTGCCCACTCTACCCAAACATCTCTAGGCAGCTTACAAACTTAAATGTACTGTATCTAAAAATAGCGCATTGTGGTTCATTCTGAATTTTCAAAATAACATTTTAGCTATATTGACCAATATGATATCATATTGGATGGACCAATATGACTTCTTTGATCAATCAATATTTCTTATCCTGAATCTTTCTGACCAACTACATCCTCATGAGCAGTCTTTGATTTTCATAAATATTTATTTTTAGTTTGTTTAAACAAGTGAACTGGTTTTTGAATGAGCTACATTTAAAAATAAACTATTTAAATATTTTATGTGCATTCCATCCAAATTGATTAATTGTTTTGGAATTAGTCAGATTGGCTTAAAGTGTCTAACATTTGCTAACATCACTTAATACATGTATTTACCAGTAATTAATTATATTTTCTTTTATTCAAATTACATGTGTACATAAAACAAATTCCTATGTTGCCTCAGTTGTCTGCCCATTAAATGGTTTGTCTGTGCCGAACAGTATAGTATTGAAGAGGCTTCATTGAGCAGAAAGAATGGCAGGGGGCCAGTGTGGATTCAGGAGCGGGACTCGAGAGACCCTGTTTCCGATATCTATCAAGTCATGGCACTTATACCTTAGGCTAGTCACACACACTTTCAGCCTGACGTACTGTACAGGTTGGTTGTTGGAAAGATCAGATAAAAGAGGGAAGCCACATATAACGTGTTTGGCTCTTTGAAACAAAGATGAGATATAAATGTAACACACAAGGAAATAGAATATTGTAGCTGTTCAAGGATCAAGTGTCTTATCTTGTAAAACTTGCAAAACTTTGCCACCTGCCGAAACAAGAAGGAAAAGGGTAATGTTGCTGATGTGTACCATCTTCTTTCAGCTTTGTCTGTAGAGCTCATATGTATCAGTGAAATTGACCATGAATGTCTCTTATAAAACAGCAGAAGAAGCACCAGAATGGCAATAATGAACTCATGAGACCCATGGCTATGTAACAGTCTCCAGCAGATAGTTTTCAACATGCTTGCTGCTTGTCCATGTTGAATGACTGTCTAGAAATAATATGTTCATTATTGTTTTTTAGATTGCACCTCATAATGTAAGGGGTGTATAGTTGATGTAAGGGGTGCAATTTATGAATTTTTTTTTTAGTTTATGAAGAATTCTTACAGAATTAGAAGACAGTGAAATTTTCTTATGAACAGCACATGAAGGCTGAAGTATATTAATTGATTTCATTTTGGTCTTCTTGTTGATAGTTTATGGTTCAGAAGAAACAGCCTGTAAAAGATTGTCTGAAATTCCAGTATAGCTACCCCACTAACATCTGTGTTGTATAAAATATTTTAAATTGTGTGATTTTTCCAGTGTGTGGAATTCTGTTTTACTGTGCTCCAAGAAACAAATTAGACCTAGACAAGATGTTTTCTGGAGTATTTCTTGTGTTGTAATGGTGTAATCTAATTAGATGGTTCTTGGTGACAAGAAGTGATGGGCTTTGAGTGAAAGTGTCTTGCCTTTCTTTCATGTCTTGCTTTCTGATATCATGCTATCCTCTGTGACTTTTTTGAATATATTAACTTAGATGTATACTCTCATTAATCTTTTCTCTAACTTTCTCTTTCACATTTTCTACCCTGGATTTGCTGCTTGCCTCAGCCTCACTTCAAGGTCAGTATGTAAATTTAAGGATTTTATTGGACTGGTGCACCTACAGTTGAAGTAATGAAACACAAGCGACAAGAAATCCTGATCACTTAATAGCAGCAATGAACTATTGAAGGACATTTTGTAGTCTAAAACTAGACTGGCTACAATGTACCTCGTTCAGAATTCCATGGCTTCCCAATGTGTTGGAGTACACATTGCTTCATCCCCAGTGATCAAAGCCCTGGGAAAACCAAGTGGAAATTTTGATGTCCAACAGAATGACATCACAATGATCATAGGAGAGGTATAGATAAAGAGTTGAGGAACAGAATTTGCATCAGATAAAATATATAGCAACATATATATGTATGAGTATATATACACATGCATATATATTATTTCACCCAAACTTAAATCATAGGAGCTTTTATCTGCTGATGAGAAAGAGCAGCCAAAAGAGCACATGGTGTTTATGCCATATCATAACCTTGTGTCGCAGTGGTTAAACTGCAGTACTACAGCCAAAATTCTGCTCACAACCTTGGTTGCGTCCGGGATAGCCATATGGCCTACAACTCTGAGTTATATGCACTGTGTCAACTGCTTTTGGAAGTTTTTTTTTTACTCCTCATCTTACTATATTACTTATGTGCCAAGGCAAAATTTATCTGAGATTAAAAATTCAGTTGATTTGGTCACTATAACCACCTGTGAAGGAGATCCTGAGCAGGTGCCTACTGCTGGGAAGTGGGTTTGGTCATTTTTCTTTTTTCTTTGTGTCCTTGATAACTAAATTTCTGGGCTAGTTCACCTTCATTGGCCATGGTTCAAAGACTATTTCAATAAATTCAATTGCATAAGAAAAATGTGAGCAGATTGTGTACGCAAGTCTATTAAGAATTTGAGGAACTTTTTTTTTAGTGCTCATCGTTCAGCTGACTGTTTTCTGTGAGGCATACATTTGGAAGTTTCTAAAGCAGTGCTTTCCAGGCACAGTTTATGTTATTCTGATTATTTTAACATTTTCAATTGTCCAGAATGTGGACTACTATGTGGACTACTATGAATGTTATATCAGTGTTACACCTGCTTCTATTTTGTTAATTACAGTAGTCAAAAAGGAAGTTATTACAGTTCTAAAAATACTTGCATAAGCAAACTTACAACAAAAGCCTGTGTTGAGCTATTGATCAGAAGAGGATAAACTTCGGAAGCAAGAATAACAGCAACACTACCTGATTTTATCGCCTCTAGTGGGGGAAAAATTAAAACACATTGTTACAATAATTCATATCCTGTGTGTGCCATAGAACCCCAGAAAATGCAGCACGTAGCTTTATTAATGCCATATGGGAAAGGATGATGAAATATGGAAGACAGGGCTTGCAAATCCCTGTGTTCTGCTAGCCAGGTATGTTTTCATTTGGGTCTGAGATACTCTGAGGCAAAACACCATAAAGGATATATTTTTTAAAAAAATCAAGCAAAACAGTGTTTTAATTTCAGATTGGGTAAGAAGTCAGCAGGAAAGAGATCTTATCACATTTCACCAAGCTATACATGAGCAAAACTGAACATGTGTTTGCCCTAAAGGCATGTGGCAGAATCTTGCAATGAAATGGCATAATTGTCAGGGAGTTTTGTAAAAAGGAAATGGTGTAAAGGCTCTAATTGAAAAAGTCATATCTGTTCTCTAGAGGAAACCATCTAACTGATTCTAACTACAAATACTTAACTGTTCCTACAGCTAAAATACTTACAGCAGGACTAGTGTGCGTACGTGGATGCCTCTTAATCAACTTTATATCATAAGGCCATAAGTCTTCATATTTAAAAAAAATTAAACTTAATATTTCAATAATCACTTTAAGAAACTTAAGGTTCTTTACATGTCAAAAAGAACAAGGAAAAGGATGTGTGGCCCCCAGAATTACACAAATGTAGGAGTGGGTGATACCTTTTCTTGGACTGCCTAAAAAAGCAAACAAATTGCAAGCTTTCATGCAGAAAATTCCACTTCTTCATGTTTAGCACAACCCCTTTATGGATAGTACAGAAAAAGTGTGGACAACAGTCCAAAAATTGATGCTACATGTATGTGAGAGTTGATGTCCTCTTGAGGCTGCTGTCTCAAGCATCCTTGCAGCATGGTTTGTAATGTTTAGACCCTTCTTTTAGAACCAAAAAGTTACATACCAAGTTTGCAATGGAATAAGTCTTTCATGTTGTTACTTAGTTGTTAAGTTGTGTCTGACTCTTCATGACCCCATGGACCAGCCCCTCCTGTATTCCACTGCCTCCTGGAGTTTGGTCAAATTCATGTTGGTAGCTTTGATGACGCTGTCTAACCATCTCATCCTCTGTCAGCCCCTTCGCCTCTTGCTTTCACACTTTCCCAACATCAGGGGCTTTTCCAGGGAGATTTCTCTTCTCATGACATGGCCAAAGTATTAGATCCTCAGCTTTAGGATCTGTCCTTCCAGTGAGCACTCAGGGTTAATTTCCTTCAGAATTGATTGGTTTGTTCTCCTTGCAGTCCAGGGGACTCACGAGAATATCCTCCAGCACCACAATTAAAAAGGATCAATTTTTCAGCGGTCAGCCTTCTTTATGGTCCAGCTCTCACTTCCATACATCACTACTGGAAAAACCATAGCTTTTACTATGCAGACTTTTGTTGGCAAGGTGATGTCTCTCCTTTTTAAGGTGCTATCTATGTTTGTCATCGCTTTCCTCCCTGGAAGCAGGCATCTTTTAATTTCATGGCTGCAGTGATCATGGAGCCCAAGAAAGTAAAATCTGTCACTCCCTCCATATCTTCGCCTTTTGTTTGCCAGGTTGCTGATGGGACCATTGGCCATGATCTTAGTTTTTTTTTATGTTGAACTTCAGACCATATTTTGCGTGCTTTCCTTTCACCCTCATTAAGAGCTATAAATTTACTGAGCGCCTAATATGACTAACAAAAACACGTGTTTTTTTGTAGTTTTCTGAGGTGGGTAGATATGTTTTAGCACAATGACAAATAAAACAATCTATTTTTTTCCAAAGGTTCATGTCAACATAAACAACAGAAATCACTGAATGTATCCTATCCCAGTCTAACCTGCATAACAGGATTTCAACTATTGTAGAGAAAGGCACCAAGGTTCATTGCTTTCCATGCACTAAAGGTGCTGATTAAGCACCACGAAGTAGACGTAAAAACACCTGAGATGATCTACATGCTAGATAGAGGTGGAAGCAGCTCACAAAGGTACTCTCTCTGGTGGCTGCTGAGTGGGCAGCAGCTGAACTTTAAAGAAAAAGTGTGTACAGAGCTGGATTCTTTGAGGAATAGTAGGTGAAGCTGAGGCAGTACTGAACAAGACACCTGGCAGGGTACAGGCACAGCCCTTTTTTTTTTCAAACAGAAAAAGACACATTAGGCTCAAAAGATGCCCTTGTGATCTTTGGGAGGCAGAGGAACAATCATAGAATTGTAGAACAGTGAAGTTGGAGGGGGCTTATAAGGCCATCAAGTCCAACCCCCTGCTCAATGCAGGAACACAAGTCAAAGAATATCCGTCATGTGGTTGTCTAAGTTTCTCAAGCAGCTCCAGGTCTGGTTTTTTGCTGACTGTATAGAGCTTCTCCATCTTTGGCTGCAGAGAATATAATCAATCTGATTTCGATACTGCCCATCTGGTGATGCGCATGTGTAGAGTCGTCTCTTGTATTGTTGGAAAAGAGTGTTTGTGATGAAGAGCTTGTTCTCTTGACAAAATTCTATTAGCCTTTGCCCTGCTTCATTTTGAACTCCAGGGCCAAACTTACCTGTTGTTCCTTTTATCTCGACTCCCTACGTTAGCATTCCAGTCCCCTAGAATGAGAAGAACATCTTTCTTTGGTGTCAGTTCTAGAAGGTGTTGTAAATCTTCATAGAATTGGTCAATTTCAGCCTCTTTAGCATCGGTAGTTGGTGCATAAACTTGGATTACTATGGTGTAGAAAGGTCTGCCTTGGATTCATATTGAAATCATTCTATCATTTTTGAGATTGTATCCCAGTACAGCTTTTCCCACTCTTTCATTGACTATGAGGGCTACTCCATTTCTTCTATAGGATTCTTGCCCAAAATGGTAGATATGATAATCGTCAGAATTGAATTCGTCCATTCCCATCCATTTTAGTTCACTGATGCCCAGGATCTTAATGTTTATTCTTGCCATCTCCTGTTTGACCACATCCAGCTTACCAAGGTTCATAGATGTTACATTCCAGGTTCCTGTGCAGTATTTTTCTTTGCAGCATGGGACTTTCCTTTCAATTCCAGGTGTGTCTACAGCTGAACATCCTTTCAGCTTTGGCCCAACCACTTCATTAGCTCTGGAGCAACATGTACTTTTCCTCCGCTCTTCCTCAGTAGTATGTTGGACGCCTTCCAACCTGAGGGGCTCATCTTCCTGTGTCATATCTTTTAGTCTTTTGTTTCTGTCCATGGAGTTTTCTTGGCAAAGATACTGGAGTGGCTTTTCAGGTTCTGCTCCAGGTGGATTGATTTAGTCAGAACTCTCCACTATGGCAGGGTCGTCTTGAGTGTCCCTGCACAGCATAGCCCATAGCTTCTCTGAATTACTCAAGCCCCTTCGCCACAACAAACCCCTTCACGTTACTCCATTTTTAAAACCCCCTGGCAGCCATTCACTCAAGGAAAGCTTGCCTGAAGAGAAAGGTCTTTGCATGCTTGCGGAAGGACAATCTAGCCTCCTGTGGAAGGGAGTTTCAGAGTTCGGGTGCAGCAACAGAGAAGTCCCTCTTCTGTGTACCCAACCAGACACACCTGTGGAGGTGGCAAGACTGAGAGGAAAACCTCTCCTGATGATCTTATTAGTATCTCTTTGCCTGTGTATCTTATTATGGTTATGGCAAGTACTTCATCCAAATATCTATTATGTTGTTTCTGCAGTTGATTTTATTTATGGAATTATGCTAAAATGAGATTCCCAAACATTATAGGAGTTGAGAAGTATTTGCAATAT